CAATTTCAATAGTTTCACTCATAGTTTAGAGCTCAAATAAACCTGGAGCCGAAGAGTAAGGCACGGAACCGAACATCCTCCTTTCCTCATTACTTCCTCCTTGCACCTATAGGCGCTCAAACAACTCACTTCTTGTTCACCTTCGAAAGCAGGTCACTTGTCATGAAGGCCAGATGCACATTACTAGAACAATCAGGGATGTTCATTTTATAAATCATTAATATGAAGTTGGCAATAAATTTGCTCCATACGTTGTCGCAATCATGTAGAATTTGATCTGTTTGACAACTAATTAATGCTATAAGAACTATACTACCAGCTAAGCAAAGATATTGCTTCAATCCACGATCGGATTTCGATATCATTCCATCCCCATTTTCGCATGCACAGAAGAGTATGTAGACCAACATGTTCATTATTTCGTGCATTTGAAGAAAGCATTGTCGAAATAGACGGGTGGATAGCACAGTGGTAGTGATGTCCGTCATCATAAGCATAGTGCTAGTTCGATTCCGCCTCAGGCCAACCGAGTCTCGCATCCCTCCATGGTCGGGAAATTCGTGCCGGACTTCTCTGGGAAAGAATCATTTTCTGCAATCCAACTGGGAACGCTCCAGTCCGGATATCACAGCACTCCAGAGAGAATTGATTGACCAGCACTCTACGACAACCAAGATGAAAATCCTCAAGTAGCAACCGAAGCCACACGTAGAAATTCGGAAGATCTTCATGGACAATGGATGCGAGAAAACGAATTGGATGTGAGACGTGCTGGGATCTGCATAGTAGACGTGAAGACGGACCAAATAAAATAGAAAAATTGTCGAAATAAGCTTTGAAGACTTAAAGATTTGAAACCATTACATTAGTTTGCTCTCTGTCAAATTTTTTTTTTATAACTCGACATCATGTATGGTGCGAATCCCAGTACTTCCTTCATTCGATACGTTTGCTCGCACTCGTCATCCATGAAAGCCTTCGAATTTTCTTAGCACAAAGTGGTTATTGCATGAGGATTTCGTCTTCCTTGTAAATGTCGCTGAATTCTGGTGGAGTCGAATCTTCCTGCAAATTTGGGACAGCCGTACTAGGGTGTTTTCACGTGGACTCGAGTAACTTAGTTGGTCAAAGACCAGGCCGCTATCAATCTACGAACGGAATTACAACAAGCCCGATGGGCAAGGGTCGAGGGTCGAGCCAGACTTTGCTCATGATGAACGTAATCACGACCATTGCGCTACCAGCTCCTTTACCTATGAAATTTTATTGAATAATGGAAGATACACCCATGAGTTTAAAGATGGAGCTAATTAATGAACTTCTGCGATGTATCAGTGGAACAAGTAAAATAACAGAACTGGTTCATCAATGCTTTAAGGCTTTAGTATAACTGGGAAGTACGTAAGACGACCATATTTGAGATATGTTGACGTTCACATAAAGCTTAAACGAATATGAACCACAATAATTATAGAACTTCAATGACGCTGAGATACTTGCAAAATTCCGGACCGCAGGTGTCTGCGGTGGAGAACGAACGCGCTATTATCCTTTCCGGGAGTAACGCATTCACCACCACACCATGCGGGTCCCTCTCTTCGCCTGTCTCTCAGTTAGTTCTATCGATCTTTTGCCATCAGCAGTCACCCGTCAACGGGATTGATTGAGAACCGATTTGGCCTGCCCAGATCGATCCCGTTGACGGGTGATTGCTGATGGCAGAAGATCGATAGAACTAGCTGAGAGACAGGCGAAACGAAGGACCCGCATGATGTGGTGGCGAACGCGTTACTCCCCGGAAAGGATAATAGCGCGTTCGTCCTCCACCGCAGACACCTGCGGTCCGGAGTTTTGCAAATATCTCAGCATCATTGGAGTTATATTTCATAATATATAGTCTGCCAATAAAAATAGTAGGCAGTAGATAATAAATTTTAAAAAATGAAAGAGTCTCGACACTCTCACATAGTTTACTACAAATCCAACAAATAAAAATATTTAGCTTTAACTATCAGCTTGCAGAAAAATGGCTAATACTAGTCCTCCTTGACATTCTGTCAATAGCAGAATAGTCAAGTTTGAAAGCCAAAAGTCTTTCCTTCTCGTGTAGAGTAGCTCTAAACACCATTCCTTCTTAACTCTTTGATAGAAACACACATGCCTTTCAGGAAGTCTAAATTATTTAATCTTTACTATATTAAGGAATTCATTAGGCGCATGTGGCGTAGTAGTCGGAGGAGCCCTGCAGTACACAAGCGATGCGCCCCTACTCCACAGGTCCACATTCTTCCATTCCTCCGGGGTCAGCAAACTGGTACCAAGCTTGTCTGGGAGGATAGCAGCACTGGTATGCCACTGCGAGTCATTGCAAGAGCTGGATATGCTTTCAATCACCTCCAACGATGCTTAATGACGCCGAATGCATGGCGCATTCCCCAGCGATCGATTAACGCCGAGAGCTTTATCCTTTATTCTTTTATATGCCGAAAGATGCATAATGGTCATGCTTCCAGGATAGGCTTACTGGACACAAATAACTGGCGATGGATTGAGGTGTACTGCGTTAATGACTATTATTTCACAAATATCCTCATGTTCGACAACGGCCAAACGCTCATACATCAAACGGTAAGTTTTAATGCGTGTAGCAATGGTAAAATCTACAAAGTTGCAATAGTCCGTACTGTAAGCCTAGTAAAAGCACATGGTTGTAAAATTATAGGACAAGAGCTGGAACGTTGAGCACTATGAAGTCGTCCGAAATCCATTCGTCGTGTTACCTCTAAGGACGAACGCTGAACTCAAGTCACGCTCACATACCTACAGTGTTAAACGCGAAGTAATTCTGAAGTGGCTGCACTAACTCACTACGAAAATGAAGTCATCATACAAAGTGGCTGTTCCACCTCACTACTTGGCAAATAATCATGATCGATCGAGAATGGAACGCTGAAAGTCATGATATTACCTTTATCTACTTACAAGCGAAAAACCAAGGAGCCTACAGATCTTCTGCTACCACTTTCTCATGGTCACCAATTGTAGTGACGCGAGAACAACCATGATGACTCCAAAACTTGCGTTTAATAAACCTTCAGTCCTAACCTAGGCTGTGGTTTCGTAAAAAGATGAGACTGACATAACGTGAATGAGCGTCTCTGGACAACTCATCCTCTTCCAAAAGTCTTTTTATTAATAGAGCTCTGCAAAAATTCGTGGTTATGCATAACCTCAAGAATTTTCCAACAAAAAAAATGGGAAGAAACTCCGCGTAAGCAATGGTTTCGTTCAAATTTTTCCTTGGGTGCTAGATCTACCTATGGACTATGAACTACCAGTGGTATGCAAGTGTACCAAATTATGATTGTATACCACTACTTATCACAAACATGATAACTTATAGCCCAGACGCTTTATTTCATTGAAAAACCCGTTCTCCACTTAGGAACATGAAAACACTGCATTCGATCCTATCGCAAACCAGAGATGTCCAATAAGTTGCTTGCTGACGGGAGACGGAATGCACTGCTTTTCGTTCAGGGTAATCATGAATGAGTCACTTGGCTAGAATTATTGTTGATACACTGGATATGATCATATAACAGTACCTAAAGCCGAGCCAGATGGTCAGTCCCAATTGCTACATAGCAGCCCGAAGAAATCAACACTGCCGCGAATGAATAGTGATCGTAACAAGCCCACCTTCTCTACGAAAGTACTCTTCTCCATGTCATAAAATTGCCCTATAAGCAATGGGAACTTTGAACCGTTATACCGTACCCCACATATCGCATAAGCTCGTACACAGCGCCTTTGGAATTACTGCAATCTACATGGCCAAACACCTCCATAACCAAACAGAGAGAATGCTGAACCAAAATTTCAATCACAATGAACACAGAGTTTTTGCACACTCATCACTTTCTATGAGTCTTCCATTAAATATGTCACGTGAAGACCAACCGCACAGAATTCACATGGAATCGTAATGTGCCCATCTCATCAAAATAAACTCTTGAGGCATTCTGGATTAATTCCAAGACTCCGAAAATGAACCGCAGCGAGGAATGCCTCATTATAACGAATGATACTGGGCAGTATATAAGCCTGTTATTCTGATGAGATGGACACATTACGATTCCATGTGAGCTCTGTGCGGTTGGTCTCCAGGTGACATAATTAGTGTAAACTCATAGAAAGCAGTGAGTGTGTAAAGACTCTGTGTTTAATGTGATTGAAATTTTAGCTCAGTACTTTCTCTGTTTGGTTATGGAGGTGTTTAGCCGTGTAGATTGCAGTCAACTTGACCTTTCTAGGCCCTGAGGAAGGCGAAATCCGCCGAAACGCCAGCTTATGCGTAAATAAAGAAATAAATCACACACCCCGTGTTTCCTAAGCAGAAGTAGAAAGAATTATTCAATCAATGCCGAGGTTAACAGAAAGTCGGTCGTGGGAGTTACAGCTCTGAAACATCACTTTCGCAACAAGATTTCAATGAGTTGAGAAAAATAAAGGTCTCTTCGCCATTTCTCATTCAACTTGTGCTAGTTGCGTAGATTTACATAGAATTCTAAGATAGCCGCAGGTTACAGTTGACAGGATAGTCAAATATTTTTGAAAATATTCTCAGAAACCTGCTTCTTATGTCCCAGCAGTAAGAAGAACCAACCGGACTATCTGAGGCGCGCCATAGATGAATAAATATCGTTAAAAGCGTCTACTCGAATTAGTTAATGGTAAAAGGTAATATGAGGGACACAGCTTATTTTATAACAAACAAATAACTTACGCATGAAAAAATAAAGACAACGCAAATGAGAAGAGAGCCGAGCTTTACACTTGATATCTACAAAGGCAGTTATCAATAGCTACAATGGTGCTGTGGTTATTGTGCTGTATTTTCAAACCCCAGAGTTTTATTGAAGCGCTACATGCGTATTCACCTGAGCAGTTCATTCATTTCTATGTAGGAGACAGTACTGAACGAGTAAGAACAAAATTTATCGACCAATCCGTTGCACTACCCAGTCCTGTTGACACAAAGGACACCGGTTATTCTGTCTTACCCACTGACTCATACAACAGTTGTGAAAAGCATGGTTACATTCTCCCCAGACCACAACGCAATCCGCCGTCGACGATTCAGCCTGGCATCGAAGACATTCCTCCATCAACTGGACTCGACAAATGGCACAAGTGTCGCAGTCAACATCCCAAGCCCATGTGGCCAAGGCGTTCCATTTCTGAAACAAAGGAGAATAATAGTATAAATTCCCTAAATGGTCCTTTCTTTGAACCTTATACTATCTGCTATTTCTAGTCTGCGCATAAAACTGTTCACAAAGTCATTTAAACACCAACTGTGGTTAAGTACGAACGCCAATCTTTTACGCCATTTTAAAGCGTCCATAGAACATACAGTGTGAAGACTTAGGCTAGACAGCAAATGCCTTCCATACATGAACGCATCTCCAATCCAGCGATCACTGGCGAAACGCAGAATCAACTGGTGGGGTCAGCCATTCCACGGCGGACCGCACACAATGTTTCCACGTTGCCTGTCGAAAAAAACATTTACGTGCTAAATTATCTTAACCTTTTCTTATTTACTGCCTACTATAATTTTTAACGGCAGAGTATGATGTGAAATACAACTAAGATAATGCTGAGATATTGGCAGAACTCCGAACCGCAGGTGTTTGCGGTGGAGAACGAACGCGCTATTATCCTTTCCGGGGAGTATACATAAAGAGATAAAGGATAAAGCTCCCGGCGTTGATCAATCCTTGATGGATGCGACATGCATTCGACTTCATTAAACATTGTTTGGAGATTGCTGAATGCATATATGGCTTTTATAGTGACTCGTGATGGCCTGCCGATGTATCAAGTCAGTGCTACTATCATCCCAGACCAGTGTGCTACCAATTTACCGACCCCGGAGGGATGGAGGGCTGGGTGAGCGTGGGGAGTGGGGCGTGGGGATCGGTCCCATGTATATCGCACGGCGCCGCCAACCACTGCGCCACACTTATATATAACACACGAAGTACAAACCACTTACTATCAATTACACAACGAGCACGATAATAACATTAAACAAACAGCAAGGCAATGAAGTCTCACCTTAAGCACAAATGGTCTTGATGCAGTTGGTTGTAGGGCGGTACTGACAGTGTTCACAGAGCGCAGAGAGTCCTGTAGCGATACCATTTCTACGTCTGGTGGATCCGTTGTCGAAGGTCCCGACATAATCCCACTAAAACAGCTTGCGAATTAACCGTATGCAGTCCTCAGCTGCTCTAGATGGACGCGAAAATGTTCGAAATGTACACAAGGAATGAGATATCTAGACTTGTTAGTGTCTATTTAGAAATATAAAATAGCCAAAGCGTTGGCTACAAAACGCCGTACTTTGCGCAACTAATCGCACGCTCCAATCGAACACTTCGTACTCTGAGAGTTCAATCAGAGCGCGTTCTGGACAAAATTTGCGACAGTTTATTCACTGTCTTCGCTCGCCCTTGAACTTTTCCCATTTTAAGGGTCCTCTGTTATCTTGGTTGAAGCGTTTTTTCTGTTATGTTTGGTCTAGGCTTAGGATTGTTAACACAACTATATTATTTTATGTGGAGGAAACTTGTTACACTTTCGCTTTATACGTTTCATTGCTTGAGATGATGGAAGGTGGTGCAACACCAATGCCTGGAGTAACATCTGGCCCAAAATCGACAAGTATGATCTACATCTGCGGAGGTTCGTAGTCGTCTGGTTTTGCCCTTATTTTATGCAGTTCATACCCGGAACGCAATGAACTCCATCGTCTAGATTGGAGTTTTTATTTGGACTCTGTTGTGTTTAGCGTTACTATGGAATATGATCGTTTTCAGAATGTCACTACGAGAACGAAATCCGTCCGAAGGATGCCATTCGTTGTCGAGAATGTGGCTATCGAATCTTATACAAGAAGAGAAGCAGAAAACGTGAGTGTATCTTTTGGTTTTTGGGTTCTTCTATTGGTCTCGAATCTTTAACATCTTTTTATCTCTTCTTCTTGTTTTCTTTATTTCTTTCCTTTCTACCCATCGGCTTCTAACAGTCAGCAATTTAGTGATGGTCTATGACGCTCGATGATTGGGATTTTCGGCTGCGCATTCAATGGCTTTCGTTTTTTCCTCTATTTCTTTTGGTTTTTATTTTCGTTGTTGGCATTACTTCAGTTCATACATTTGACTAAGAGACGTTGTTTGATTGCTGAGCTTACCCTTATAGTTTGGATTCTATACCATCCTTTATGTGGAATAAATGAAATGAATAAAACTGTCAAGTTAGTCGTCATCTTCTTCTTACTGCGTATTCATGTGAGATAGTCGTGGGCAGATACGATGTACAATTTTAGAGCAAAATACTACGAGGAATTAAACCTCATTTCAGGGTTACTATGTACATATCCGACCTACCATGTCAATTTACGTCTTCCAAGCGCTTCCAGTGGAAATTTACTTCTTCTTGGCACTCATACAAAACCCATAACATTTGTCATTTAAAAGCATGTCACATCTACTGTGCGCACGTTTTTTTAAAATATAAATCCTTGTCTTTAAACTATAACGTGACATAGTCTCAAACCAATGCTGTTCGGTGTCCAAGTGTCATGTTTAGCAACAGGTTCGTCTTCGACGAATGCTTACCTAAACACTTGTTCGACATGCTCATTCAGGATACAACAGCAAGACAACCATGAATATAGGATTCTGCTCTCATTACATATTTTTTCCGTTTATTTTCTCCCAATGAGACTTTTCATCCCATCGATAGTTATGCACGTTGTAGAAAGCTTGGTGGACTAAAAACCTTTTTCTATAACTAGTAATTTCGAAAAATCCTTTTCTTCGGAGGAGTCTGTTTGCTTAATTTGAATACTGTAGCGGGTTGCAGCATTGTTGCTTCACTAGCACACTGAAGTTCGGGACCTATAGCACCTTGTCACTGTGATAAGGTCGTAACTCATTAAGGAGACTTCTACGTATGTATTTGTTGTATGCGGGAGAATTATGCACTAAATACCTTGTCATCAGTTTATACAGTCCACCTCTGAGAGGACTACGTGTCCTCAACTCATATTCACACCGAATTTCTCTGAAGGTCTAAATGTTGCTCTGAGGAACATTTGTTTTATAGGCTGACTACTGATAGCGCGCATAGGTCAGTAGTATGGCTGAGAGACAAGCGAAACGAAAGACTTGCATGGTGTGGTGGTGAACTGGTTTGCCTCCTGAAAGGGTAATAGTGTGTTCGGTCCCTCTCTCTGACACCAGCGGTCCAAACTTTTGCAAATGTCTCAGCAGCATTATGGTTATATTTCACATAATACCCAGCCATTAAAAAATAATGGGCAGTAAATAAAAACTGACGATATTGTGGTTTATTATACACTTTGCAATTCTTAATGGTAAAACTTTTGCATACTGTTAAAAAATAAAAAAGTAAAGCTCTCAGCGTTCATCAATCCCTGAGGGATGCGCCATGCCTTCCACTTCATTAAGCATCGTTGGAGGTGACCGAATGCATATCTGGCCTTTACAATGACTCGCTGTGTCCTACTGATATATCAGACCAGTGCTGGCTGAAATCCTCCCAAACAAGTCTGGTACCAATTTGCCGACCTCGGAGGGATGCAAGGCTTGGTTAGCCTTGGGCGAGAGATTCAATCCCATATGTATTGTAGGGCGTCTCTTACCACTACGCTACACGCGCCCAGTTGCATACTGTTATACTTACAATAATCACAGTCCGCGACCTTTTCAAAATAAGCTTTTTGCTGTTCAAGATAGACTTCTTAAACACAGTGTAATTACCGTTTACAGCCATTAGAATTCTGTAAGCTTTACAATTTACAACCAACAAACTCTTCTTCAATTCTTATGGCATGTTTGGTAAATGGTTATAGAACTTTGTAATCTATTCTGATCCCAGCTCGGCTAAATGCCATCGGCCTATCAAACCTGTGCTTTAAACTTCTCCAATAGGTCTCCAGTACTGCCAGTTTGACAATTCCCAGGTTATCTCTCCAAAAGCCAGATCTGCATATCCTAAGCATCTGAGATCTCCACTTATGTCTCATACTTTTTTTGTGTATATATGTTGATCTCTACTAGATGAAATATCGCCCATAAATAATTCATAAAAAAATAGTCCTGAAAATGGTAACTTTTTATTTACTGCCTATTACAATTTTTCACGACAGGGTATGATGTGAAATACAACAACACTGATGATTTACAAAATTAGGGCCCCAGGCCAGATCGAACCGCGACTACCCTTTCCCGCGGCTGATATGTTACGTACGGAACCACGAGGCCCTTACTTTGCATTTCTCTCAGCCACTTTTTTATCTAACTCCGCCATCAGCAGAAACTCGCCAGTGGGGTTGATCTAGCGAGCAAGAATTGGCATTGAACCTAGTTAAGATGAGGCTGTAGTCGAAATCACAATGTTCACTTTTTATTTATTGCCTATTATTATTTTTCATGCCAGGGTATGATGTGGAATACAATCACTGTGATGCCGAGATATTTGCAAAACTTGAACCCCTAAGTGGTTGTACTAGTTCCATGCGTCGATGTATTGAATCCAACGGTCACTTGGCACCACATTGTCCGATCACTCACCCACTGCATAATTACTGGCTACTCTCTCATCAGTCATTTCTACCCATATCTTACGAAACGCTCCAGATTCTTGGTCGACGTGTAGCACAAAAAGTTCCATTAGTTCGTCCTTTATTAGTCGTCAATCAGAAGTGGAACTTAATTCGCCTGCTGCACACATGAGCCAAGCTTATACAGCCCTATTTCCAACCACTGACTGATTGTACATTCATTTTCAATCATTATTATAATTCCTAACTATTGTTTAACATAGGCAGGTGCAAAAAAGGGAAAAAACACCAGAATGAACTTTGAATATCTTACAAGTCGGGTGCAGGAAACGGAGTGGTTAGAAGTCCTTTGGAGGCGCGACTACCTATAGTGAAGACCTGAGAACATCCTAGCACAGCTATCACAAGAGAATGTAATTGACCATCATTCAGGACTATTAATGAAGCAGATCAGATTCTCAACTGGCAGCTGAATCCACAATGAAATTGGAAAACCGTCGTAGATGAAAGATGCGAGATCTAATGAAATGAAAAATTGCAAGTATCCGCACGTGTGATCTCGCGTCATGTGAATAAAAGACGATAAATGGACAAAGACCATCATGGTTAAAAAAAAAGGATAAAAGTTGCCAGGATCGACTTTCTCTTAACCTCGGCATTGGAATATGAATGTGTCGTTTTCTTGTTCAGCAATCGCAAGGTTTTTAAAAAGCATACATTTACTTCCATAGAAAAACACAATACAATACAACGCTAGCTGACGTCTCGGCAGTATCGCCTTCTTCAGAGCCTGGAAAGGTATGCTGATATACAATCTACTAGGCCAAACGCTTCAGTAACACTTACAAAAAGACGAAAGACTCTTTGGTAATTACATGATCAACAACTTCTCGAAAAAACCCACCGCTTTTTCGTGACTTCCAATGAGGAAGTTTAGAACAGCTGATTATAGTCGCGTGTGGTTGACGACTGCACCATCCCACATCAAAAATCGATGCGAACGTACGGGATCAGGTCGCGTATGACCTCCGGGCATTGGGTTTTTTCATTGGGAAAAAGCGGTGGGTTTTTTCGAGAAGTTGTTGATCATGTAATTACCAAAGAGTCTTTCGTCTTTTTGTAAGTGTTACTGAAGCGTTTGGCCCAGTAGATTGTATATCAGCATACCCTTCCAGGCTCTGAAGAAGGCGATACTGCCGAAACGTCAGCTAGCGTTGTATTGTATTGTGTTTTTATGGAAGTAAATGTATGCTGTTTAAAAACCTCGCGATTGCTGAACAAGAAAACGACACATTCATATGACACTTCCTCAAGGTGTTTTCCAATTCACCGCATGCAAATTCGTATGTGCCGACATTTCTATAAATTACTTGGATACTCCAACCGCCCATTTTCACTGGTTCTGCAGTCTACAGTCTAAAGCCCACTTTCTCGAAGCCTTGCTGGTTTAGCCATTGAAGTTCTCTGTAGCCCCAAAGTCCAAAGTCTGCCTCAGGTCGTCACCACCACAGGCATTCACACCCCTCGTGAATCAGAGAGAGATTTGCTACCATGCGACGAGCTGGACACTATGATGGTGGTACTAATTTACTTTTAGCTGGGCTTTACTGGACTCTTTCTGTTTGGGTGCCCTGCTGGTAATATGAATCGCTCCGTTTACATCTCAGCCGGACACCTAGAACACCTCCCACCAACGATGAGGCGGTAAACCGGTGGTAGGCATCCCCAAATTCACACCTACCATTTCTGTAACATTGTACAAAATTCCCAACTACATAACGGCAATACCGTTATACTCGCTATGTAAATACCACAGCGAATTTGTTAACACCACAGTGAAGTAAAAAGATTTATTACAATTGTAACAGCAGTATAATTTATGCCGACATAGGAAGCGCCGACCGGGGGAGCGTGATCAGCGCACGTATGGCGACTAGATGGTATAATAGTGGGCATGCAGCGGTCAGACAGGAATTACAATGGTGATTGGACAATAACGCTTAACGACTATTGTAATGACGCGTAATAATGAAAGAGAGTTCAGTGAGATGAAGGGGAGAAATAAAGGCCGCCGCGGCCATTTGTACCCGACATGAAAGATCAGAGACAATGCACGACGGGAAACGGGAGGGATTGAACATGATGCCACAATACATCTAATGCACAATGTCTATGAATTACAGGGAGGAGGATATAAACATATGGTTTCGAGATCGTGACGCGATCGTTTTTATGATGATTTCGATAGCGTCACGAGCTTTTCATCTAGGAATGCGCTATAAACACAGTGCGATGAAGTGCCGAGAATGGTGAACAGAGGTTGTGAATACACACATGACGTACTCAGAGCCTGACTGATCGAGCACGAAACACATCACACGACGTCCCGACGACTGCTCCTTTTTGCGAGGTGCTACGACGCTGGACGAGGCGCTGACGCACTCATAGAGGACGCAGTCGCTCCACCACCACCACCTCCAAACATTGCCGGCAGCTTCGGCCGCTCTTCCAATTCTTTGTATTCTAGTTTCAGCTCTTTTGGTATCTAAAATAATGTTTTAATAAAGCAAACTAACAACAGGAGTAAGGAAAGTAAACCATTTTGCATTTAGTTAAGTTACCTGTTCGATCCAATGTTAAAGAAGGGATCTGTCTTTTTATCTTTTTTCGAGCACCTTATGTGATACATCGAGGATACCAACGATTTTCTATAAGTTTCTGCAGAACATTTCAAATGTCATAATTGGTTATAATGCTTCCATCGTAGGCGCACTCCCATGACAATTGCCTATTCAAAAATCCAATGAATCTACTGAATTCCTGTTTTCTTCGCAAAGTAAATTGTGTGGAGCAAGCAGTGCAGTGTTTTATATGTGGCTAACCACTATCAAACATCGAAGGAGAGACTTTGTGTTGTCTGAAGGCGAGAATTGATCCACGTACTTGTTTTATCACTCTATTCTTCCTACACGACCAATAAAATTGGTTCACTTCATAAAATGTGAAAACGCAAAATCTGACACACGGTACTAAAGGAGCAATGGGTTGGGGGCATCACAAATAAAAAAAAAAGCATTGCAATCTGTATAAATTCACAACAAAAAATGTACAAAACAATCAAAACAATCATACCTTACGCCACTGAAGTGGGTCAAAGACATTGTACTGTCCTTTCTCATAAGATCCAGTTTGCTCTTTAACACCACCATACTGTGATCGCGTTAACCAGTTACCATCGGTCTTATGGAATCGCCAATCACGCTGATACCTGAACACTCTTTCCATGCCTTTCAAAAACAAAAGGCTGTTTTTTCGCTATTCACTGTTTAAGAAAATCGCGAGAAACGAAATTATTTCAACATATTTCCTTCTCGAATCCTTCTTTTCCCATAAAATTCCTTTTTCTTTTGCATTTCTACTCTTCTTTAGCTAAGCAGCTTTTTTAAAACAAAATCTTCACTTGGCCTTCACCTACACAAACAGTTATTCACACATTACAATTGATAAAAATAGTGAAGTGTTCGTTCTTCTTCAGAGGCTAAAAACTAACTTCTTCCTTAAACACTGCCATACAGAGTACCACTGGTGAACGTAATAACATGTCACCTTTGTACAAATACAAATATGTGATTTCCATAGTGGGTCCTCCTTTATTGTAGAGATCACCTGCATCACTTTTCGTCCCGTTGATAGTAAAGTGATTTGAGTCGGTTCCATTCGCTTTAGGGATTCGTTGAGCATCCTATCTTTTTATCAGAGTTCTCCTGAAGAACTCTGACCATCGGGTCGGTGGTCTTTCTACAGTATGTTTTGCATCACGATCAATGCAGTCACTAACGGCTACTGTCCATCAGTTTTGATTCAAATGTCCGGCTCACCCTATATTTAACAGTTTGGCGTACAGAACGGCATCTTTGATTTCTGATCTCTGACGTAGGTCGGAGCTTCGGATCCTTTCCCTAACTTGTGTGACACGGAATGCTTGTAGCACCATCCTTTCGACGGCACGTTCAGTAACGCTGAGTGATCCTTCATACTACTTACATAGCGGCCAGGCAGGCACAATCGTGCAGTCGAAAAAGTGGGCATGGAGTCGGGTGTTCTTTGTACTCCTCACTGTATCCTCGATGATCTTGAAAGCTCCCCAAGCCACTCGTTTACTACCGCTGAGCTTTGGAGTGGAGTCGTTCTTTATACTGATTTCCAGACATCGATAAACGTAGCTAGAGCAATCCGAGACAATCGTGTCATCCAGCGTGATTAAAGCATACGAAACCAATCCTTAATCATGGACATCACTTTTTTTATATTTAGCAGAAAATCAATCAAACACCCTTGATGCTCCTGAAAGTTCCCCAAGGCGCTCGTTTCCTTCTGCTCAGCTCTGGAGCTAAGTCGTTCACTATGTTGAATTCCCGACCAAGACAGACGTAACTGGAGTGTTCGGAGATATTCACTCCGCTAAGTGTGAATGGGGCATGCGAAAGCAATCCGTTCTTCATAAACATCGATTTTGTGAGATTTAGTCGAAGACCAATCTTTCCACAGTCGTTATCAACGTAGCCAAGCATTCACTCCGCCCGGCTAATGCTTAGTGTCATAAGATTGATGTCATCAGCAAAGCTAAGACGGTGTAATAGCCGAACAATGATTTGCACTCCCATGTTGTTCCATTCCAGCTGTCGCATGACGTTCTCGAAGACAGCAGTAAATAGTTTTGACGAGATAGTATCGCTTTACCTAACCCTGCTTTGACGCATACTTTGACGTCGATGCTAATATCGTCAAAAATTGGTGAAACTTTTATATACCTCGCGAGGAATCTTTACATTCTGGTAGGGACGCCCTGACTGTCTTCTATCTCAACTGAGTCAAAAGCTTTACTTAACTTGATGGAGGTGAGATTGAGCGGACTGCCGCATTCTCGCAATACTTCAATGGGTCTTGTTAACGTGTGTATGGGGTCCATCGTACTGAATCCCTATCGAAATTCTGCTGGCTCACATGGCTGTCCATCGTCGTGTTCTGTCAATCGTGTCTGGGATGACTCGAGTGGAAATTCATAGACGACAAACAGCAATCAGATTAGGCGACAGTTGTCGAAGCCATGGAGGTCACCGTTTTTGAATAATAACAGTTTTGGTGGTCTTCTAATGAATGGAAGCCTCCCATTCTGATAGGTAACGTGAGAAGAACCGAACCAGTGTTTATTGTTGGCGGAATGTTCTGAAGATATTCAGGTCTTCTCCTGTGAAGACCAGATGTTGTTCGATTCTTCACCGATGAAATGGCACGTTGGGTTACGAAAGGGAAAACCGATTGGACGATATATCCATGCTCCTTTATTTCACATGAAGGCAATAGAACTAGACTATTGAAGAAATCTAAGAAATAATCGTCCATTGCCTTTCTGAAAGCTAAAACTGTTCCGTCAGGGTGTTGGAGTATAACCATCTTGCTTATGTAATTGGCGAAATTTCAGTACGCTTGGTGAATACCATGAATGGTCTCGGTCATTATGATAACTTCAAAAAGCCGCTCACCCTGCCCATTTCCAATATAATCCGAGGATTTCAATGTGATGTTCTTTAGACGTTGTTGTGAGTCCAATCTTAGTGTTAAAATCTCAAATTATAACCAATGATGTAGAACGTACGACCTTTCTTGAAGAACATCAAGTCGATATATATAGAGCTCTTCGACTTCGCCTTCGTCATATCTCGACATCCGTGTGTAGACAAGGAAGATTGTTAAAGCCGATATTGATCCACATCTCTTCAATCGTAAACGGGCGATTCGGGTTGTTAGTTGTTCGAATGAATCAATATTCATGGCCTAGTTCGTGTTGACCAGAACGCCGACACATCGCCGACTGTCGCATGTTTCGAGAAACAATTCTTCTCAGGTTACATAGACGCCATCAAATGAGTGGTATGTTGCCGTCTCAGCCAATCCGATGACGTCACATCTTATCGTTGCAATGCATCATCACGTCCTCTAGGGAGCATCCAGGTACAAGTGAGAGTAAATTGCAAGTATAAATCGCCAACTGAGTCCTTCGAGATTCAGAGACTTGAATGGCTTTGAAACTGTGCAGCCTTCCCATATTCGTCCTACCCAACGCTGCCGTATCGGTACCTATTTCGGGGTCAGAAAAATGAGGCCTGTTTATTTTACTGTGTCTAACGTTTAATACCCACATATAGCTTGCCGAGTCCTGAACGTGTGGGTTGGGTATACTTACAGGCAGCTTGCCAGCCTTTCCCAGAGTAAACGGGGAGCTTGTTTGCTGACAGTAACTTCTTACTGCCTCCCTTATAGTTTTCTGTTGCGATTAACCCCTATCCACCATTTGGAGACAGGCCACGTTGCCTCGCGACTAAGCGGCATGAGATTCCCTCTGTGAAGGAGATCCTTCTTCTTTATGGATGTCATAGTGTTGGTCGAGTCGACTCCCCTTGCAGTCTTGAAGACAACCCAGTTAACATATTCCTACGTGGACAGGAGGAAAGTGTTAGGAACAGAGTGGAACTAGCGTTTTGCTTCCTGATGAACTGCATTAATAACCTCTCCGCTACCATTTCCTATTCCACAACTAAAGGAAATCAAAGAAGTTAAATAAAAGTGAAAATATCAGGAAATTAAAGAGGTATAAATAGAAAACGTCAACTAATTAAAGAGACATAAGTATAAGTGTGTCACGAAATGATTGCAAACTGATTCTGTTCTTGAATACCTACCATTAGCAACGAGACACCAGTGTTCAGTGTAAAGAAGGATGCTGAATATGTCAGTAAAAAAGGTAGTTCAACTTTTTGCAACACAGCAGTTAGAAAATGCTTTACAAATTAAGGGTTGACTTCGTGACAATGACAAAAGACCCAACCTATTCGGATACTTATCGTGCACTAATTGAATTGTTAAATGGAATCTAGGAGTCTCATTGAAACCAATGAGCTATAGCTGAAGCTAGAGCGGACGATTCGAAAAAATAAAATGGAACCTTACTAGCACTAAAAATAATCTCGAGTTGCCGTTAATTCGTCGGTTTAATATGTAACACTTCCACATTTCATGAATTTTAAATAATACAAATCTGATTCATAGGTCGTTCACACCACCTAACACATCTAAAACTATATTAGCAACCGTCTCTTGATCAATTGTATTTTGCATTCGAGCTACTTATCACTTTTGTTTCGATTCAAAAACAGAATCGACTTACTTTCGTCCTTTGAAAGATGTCACCCCGCAGGAAATTATGAGTACATTCATAAAGGGGTTAAACCAGATGGATCAAAAACTACCTCGTCTTTGGTGTGTTAAAAAAAACAACACAATTTTTACTACTGTGCATCTTTTACATCATTTCAGATGAAACGAATATATTCCTCATAAATACTCACAGCTCACAAGCAGCAGCTAACTGGTATACTTCGCCTGGGCAGTTGTAGAACAAATAGAAAAGCACATCCTCTGACAACTTGTTCAATTTTACTGGAGGCAGCTTATCTCGAATTTGAGCATTCGTCAGGTAATCATCGGGCACCTGAATAGAATATTGAAGAAGGTGGAAAGTAGCAAGGATCCGGGAGAAACAAGAAAATGTTACTACCAAGTGATCCTTTTAGTATGGAAATGTTGTCCATATTCTCATAATTTAAAGTATACTGAAAGTCTTAGTACTAGACTGATTGTATCTACTCCTTATTTTACGCATTTACACCCGATGCCGCGCTATCAAAGAAAGCTGAGATAGATAACGCTATAAATGGATAGTCCGAAACTTATTCAGCAAGGTAGTTTAAATCAAATTTGTTTCATTCTTATGAACATACTAACTTTACGGTTCACCAGCTCGTCGTGGTGGGTAGGTATCGTGGTTTTCAAAATGCGATATACAGCATTTGCTCATATACGTCAGAGTTAGTCAAGGAGAGGATTGTAACATTTCCTTCCGTAATCCAAGAGTGTAGCGGTGACAGAAAAATGAACGATGTTTTTGAAGAAACCTAGTCACAGAGCGACAATCCGCCCAATCGATACACACAGGCAACTGTTCATGATGACGAACATACAACGTTGCAGCGTGGGTCTCTCGAGGATCCAGACGCAGAGAGAGAGAGAGAGAACTGTTCTGGATCCAACATGACTCGTTTACATTATCTACTCACGTATCCGTACATGAACACGCTGAATATATCCACTTGTTAAGATAGCTCAATAAAGATATGGTTTACATTCATTCCATGAACACGTGATTCATTTGATACCAAATAACATGGCAATTAAACTCAAAGTAAAAAAAAAGTACGACGTACCCTGAGAAAATGGAAGAGATAAAAGTGAAAAGTAAAAAGTATTAAGATGCGAAGAATTAAACACACTTTAACATCCAATTCGTGCGGTCGAATCGGGTTGTCGGCCCAAGGACCACCGAAAGATGTGTACAGATGTCGTCTGCAACAAAGTCAACTGTTGGCATTAAAAACCCATACGTTCCAATTTTGATATCAACAAGAACCTCACAATAATGTTGACAACATTTCACAACACAGTCACCTACCGATTTAACACTTCACGCTCAATCATTTTACGGACAATGAACAGAGGAAATAACGATGGAAACATATACTGGCATGGACAAACGGATTTACAACTCACTTTCTCATCTAATTAATGGTGACAAGAACATATCAGGAAGTGGAACTTACTCAGAAAGATTCAAATTCAGTCCAAGAGTGGTGAGGTCGTAGCCAAGTGCCAACGACACTATCGATGGATTATCGACGGTGCGCAAATAAGTTACGAGGCCAGCCATACCGAACTGGTCGGCCAGCATCGTTGGAGGGATGTTTGATACTTCACCTACAAGAAGCAGAAGAATGTCAATATAACTAGAAGTAGAACATAATATATGAGTTAGAACAGAACTAGAAAAAAAGCGTATGACGGGAGCACACAAAAGATGCAAATCTCCAAATTCTTCCATCGTGGACTTAATCTGAGGATGAAGAGAACGCTGCGATCTTCTATAACAGAAATATCCCCTGTGCTAACCCTGGTGAATTACAATGTTTCCTTCGGCGTATATTACCTAGTAACAAATTTAATAAGTCTCCATTCAACTGGCCGTGGATTCACGTGCTCCTTCCAATAAAAGAAAAGGAAAAAAACATATCCTCATTATAGAAACAAGAAACAAACCATCCGGATGAGTGATTATACCTCGAGCAGCTTCGCCAGTCGGACGAACACCAAAAGGATCACTATTCGCCATGGAAGACATGGGCATATCGTTCCCAGGCGTCATCTGGATTGAAACATAATTGACAACGAGTATATGAATCACCAATTGACATAAAAAAGAAACTGATTAAATTTGCATTTTCGATTGAGTAGTGTGTCGCAAGATAAAAGAAATAACTTCGTAGAAAACTGAAAAATACGAAAACGTTAGTGATAGAGGTTCTCGAACCAAAGACGAAGCTGCCTGCGCTGGATGATCACCAGGTGGGGCACCGGGTAGTGCTGGGAAGTCCTCGTTCTGGATTTGAAACTCGGGATTACTCAAAGATGTATCGACGCCGCGCATCAATGTCGCTGAAAAACACAAAAATTTTGTCATGGTGGAATCAAAACAAAGTGCAAAGAAAAAATCAAGCCATACGCTAAGAGTGCGAAGTTATAACATTGTCAAAGTCGAATGCTTCACTATACTTATTAGCCGTAGTGATTTATACCCTTTTTGTAGCAAAGAAAAGTTATTCGTTAAACTGAGATTTACAACGTTACTGCATCGCCTAGCAGTCTCCCAACTAAAATGAGAATGAATCCTACATTTCCATCCGGAACCTCATGTAAAGGTACTTAGCAAAACACAGCTCACTTTAGCAAGCAGCCAATACCAATCATACCCCTAACACGACTTTTAAATGTGAAATGTTCACGACCCTCCATTTTATTTCGAAAGATGGACCATTCAAATATCAATCATCAAATATATATAGGTAGTCACAAAAAGATGTATCCTTTCATATCTCCTACATCAACTGCCTCACTGTGACTGAGGCATTTCCAATTATGGAATTGCGATGTATAATGAGTTCTATCCCATAAATGATGTCCATGACGAAACCAAAGTGATGGATAATAAACATCATCTAAACGCTCCAAAATATTACTACGGTGACCTGGGAACGCATTAGAACGCTTTTCTCGAAACCTTAAGGTGAAAACCTTGCTAGCAACCCAGTAGGATACCAATACACTAAGCAAGTTAAATGGATAATGAGGTTATACTTTCACCACTTTTCGTGAAGATTGGTCGACAAAAGCAATCGAGCAAATGGTTAGTGTGATTTTCCAAAACATAATCCACTACCAAATAACGAGAATGTCATTACAACGAATAAATACACAAGAACCTATCGAGAAAAAAGCTACCACGAAGGCAACGCTATATTCCCATTCCTGTTCCTTCTCTGTTGTCATATTCTTCAATCAGTACAAAACTAGTTCAAACGTACAAATTCGAGGAACTCTTCTACCAGTTCATGTCCGTAGAAACGTCATCATTCATTTTTAACTTATCATTTATTGCCTACTCTTTTTAACGGCAGAGTATATTGCGAAATATAACTTCAACGATACTGAGATATTTACAAAACTTCGGACCGCAGGTGTTTCCGGTGGGGAACGAACGCGCTATCGTCCTTTCCAGAGAGTAACGCATTCACCACCACACCATGCGGGTCCTTTGTTTCGCCTGTCTCTCAGCTAGTTCTATCGATCTTTTGCCGTCAGCAATCACCCGTTAGCGGGATTGATCCGGGGGCCCAAATCGACATTGAACCCAGTTAAGCTGATGCTTTAGTTTTAATCACAATCTTAACCATTTACTGCCTATTTTTTTTTAATGGCAGGGTACATTACGAAATATAACTTCAATGATGCTGAGATATCTGCAAAAGTCCGACGATAAAAGATCGATAGAGCTAGCTGAGAGAAAGGCGAAACAAAGGAACCGTATTGTGTGGTGGCGAACGCGTTACTCCCCGGAAAGGACAATAGCGCGTTCGTTCCCCACCGCAGACACCTGCGGTCCGGAGTTTTGCAAATATCTCAGCATCACTGAACGTCATCATTCACTTGCTAGCGATAAATGAGTGGAAAAATCATGAATGAATCAACTGAAACGACATAAAAACGATGGCGACTTGCAATATACTTAGGAACTCGAAAGCCTTATTTCTTTGAGTCGAAGAACTGTCTATATCACCAATACCCAACACAACAATGAAGCAGACTCTTATCTCTATGTGTATCCGAAAGAACTTGCATTAACAAACAGTCTCTATTCAAGACAACCATTTTAATTTGAAGCATTAAAAAAAACTATAAATATTAATAATTCTACTCACACTAACATTATATTAGACGCTAAACAAGACAAAATAAGTATACCTCACACCATGACCAAGAAAGAGCAACCACGACGGCAGCGCTGGGTAGGGCAAGAGCGTAGAGGCCGCTAAAGTTTCAGTTCCAATCTAGGCTGCACACATCTTGAAGGACTAAGCTGACAATCTGTATTTGCAATGCACACACACATGCATCTGAGTTCTCGATAGCAGATTCGGCCACGCAGTCAAGAAGGATGAGGTACGACCTAGTCAGACTGGATGAGACGAGACGACGCCATCATTTCAGCAGCGTCTGTAAGCCGGAGAAGAACTGTTCCTCGGAACATGCGACAACAGAGGAGACGGCGTTCTCGTCAACACGAGTATGGTCACGAACATCGATTCATTTGAATAACTAAAACCCGACTAACGTTTACGGTTGAAGAGATGTGAATTAATACCGGCTCTGACTACTTTCATCTATGCGCCACTGTGAAGCTATAACGAAGACGTAATTGAAGCGTTTTATCTATATGGAATTCGAGAAGTTCTATAGAGAAGACCAAACATTTGGAGCTACCATTGGAGATTTTAACGCTAGGATTGCACTTAGAAGAATGTTTGAAAAACGTCACATTGAGACCCACGGATCAGAACAGAACAAAAAGAGTGGAAGGCTGTTTAAGCTTATCATGACGACCAAGGCCATTCACGCTAACTTATAATTCCAGAAATCCCACTCTCGATGCTGCACGTAGGAGCACACCATTGGAGATTACCACAACGAAAAAGACGATGTCATAATAAAATGAATGTTTTTCTACCCACTGTCTTTTTCGTCCCCAAAATTCTACATCAAACTATCGCCTCCTCCGTGCAAGACTTCATTTCTCCGGGAAATTAGAAAAAACCGCTAAGTACAAAAACGGAGTTCCAAAACCACCACAAACTGAGGTTTAGATAATCGGATGCCTCTCGGAAAGATGCCGTTGGTGATAATACCGACTAGGAATACGACCGGCTCATTCAACATCGTTAGCGGTGTGAAAACTTAGGGCTGGAAAATCACCAAAAGACGTCTGTTTCACGAAACACCCGCGCTGATACGCCAGCATGGAATCGAACGAGATAGACGAATACGCCAAACTCATCCGTAGTAGCAAAATAAGGCAGGCATGCGAGAAAAAAGTATTTTAAAGACAGAACAACAGCAGTCTCGTCGAAGCGGCAGAGGTTAGGGAAAGCAATCGCAAAGATCACCGAAACTACGCCTACTATAAGAACAAGATATTCACGACTACTTCTCAGGATTTCTACAATAGCCTAGTTCTGTTACCTTCATACGATATAAACCAGGTTGAAATAACGTCCCACCAGTTCTCCCTTCCGAAACCCGATGTGATATTTAATCAGTGAAGAATCGAACAATATCTGATCCTCACAGGATAAGACCTAGCAAAGTCTCTACTCAGTAGAAGACCAGCAAGAGCGTGTTATTGTACAAGAAGGGTGACTTACACGATATCGGCAACTACCGCCTAACCTGCTTGCTGTATGTCTTCTACAAACTTTTCACTCAAGTCATCCTAAAATAGGATTGATAGAACACTGGACGATGGACACCCATGTGAGCGACCAGGATTTCGAAAAAGATTCAGTACGATAGACTACATACACACGACAACACTGAAGTATCGCGAGAGTCCGCTCCGCCTCATTCTCATCGATTTAGGGAACGTTTTAGACTCAAATGAGATAAAGAGTATCCAGGACGTCACTACTTAGTATATGAAGAATGTTCGTGAGCTGTATAAAAATTTCACAGCCAACACAACACCATTCTACAACGATATTAACATCGGCGTTTAACGAGGACGATACTATCTCGCAAAATATATTTACCGCCCCTTCCAGAACATCATGCGAACATTGGAATGAACAAAATGGAAGCCAAAAGCGATGGACGGCAATTAAACGATCGCTTCACTTTATTGATGGTTATCATTCATATAACACCAAGCAACTGCCGGGGGAACGAATCATAGCTAACTTTGACGACGATTGTGGAAAGAATGTTCTTCGGCCAAATCTCACAAAAGCGATGTTCTTGCACAACGGTTACTTTTTTATGACCCATTCAAACTCGTAAGAATGAATATCTAAGAATGCTTCAGTGATGCCTCAAGAGTTGAGCATGAGGAAGCGATCGACTTGTGGAGCTTTCAGGATCACTAAAGATGTAGTGAGAGGAACAACGAACATCGGATTCTCTGCCCACCTTTTCGCCTCCATTATTCTTCCCGCTCAAACCTGTGCATCAGAAACACTCAGCGTTATAGAACGCGCATTCCAAATGACGATGCTAGGAGTATCCCGCATCACGTAACTGAGAGATGGGATCCGATGTCATGACCTATGCCAACGATCTAAAATCAAAGATGTGGTTCTACTTGCGGAATTATCGAAGATACACTAGACTGGACATATAACGCGTATGAACAATACATGGCCAACAGCTGCTGGTAAGTGGATTCCTTGGAATGTCAAACGTGCTGCCGGAAGGCTATCGACTCGATGGTAACAGTTCTTCATGAAAACCCTAGAAGAGAGACGTGGTGCTCAGTTGTTCCGCATACGAGCAAAATTCAATGGGCTACTCTTGCACGCATTAGGGACAAACATAAGTTTTACTAGCGATCGCCTGAGTCGCTAGACATCCAACGGATGACATATGATACAGATACAAGTGATAAAGAAAACTGTAGAGTAGAAACTTAATGAACTACACCGTTACCTCTTTTGAGGCACTTCCTTCCGTACAGCGTTTCGGACAATCAGGACAACAAACCAGCACACTTCGCACATTGCACATATAGCTCATAACATGATGAAATCACATCGAGATCACACATTGACGTTCCTGGCGTGGGTTGACCTACCAGTCTGTCATTGATGCAGCAATGTGTGAACGTTTAGTTAACTCTGAACTGCTTTTAAATGCCTCAGTTTAGCCGTTTTGCACTTAGGTTCAATTAACTGCTGACTATTCTCGCCAATATGCACTTAATTGTCCCTTCCGATTTCTATAGACTGTTATACCACGGGTCATCTTTAAGAAATCATTTAATGGTAATAAAGATGAAATCTTTATCAGCTCGCCAAAAAAAACCTTCCACGTGCCGACTCCTAGCCTGTTAGACATTCTAACTTCTAGTGTTCTATCAATCTATATAAATACATTCTGCATTCACTGACATACTGAGCTTAACAGAACACAACACATACAGATGTCCTAACGTATACTCCCTTTTCTTTTAGAGTTAATGTTCTCAGTGCTCACCATAGTTGGCTCGGTGATTTGTTTGGTCCTTGTATGGGAGTGGGGACTGGTTTGTTGAGAACGTATTACCACTCGTCGTTGGCAATGGCGAGAATCCACCTCCAGGAGTGCCTTAATATTAAAACCTGACCTTCATTAGTAAGATGAATAAAGCATTAGAACGGCGAAAATCGCCATCAGGTCTTTGTTATGAGTTATAATGAGTTATTCTGTGTCCTTCTTAATTTTACTAAATAAAATGGATTAAATTGCAGCGACAATATTCCCGGTTCAAAAGTCAGCTTTTCTCTGCTAGCGTTCTTAAGCAGCTTCTTTACCGACAGGTTTTCACTTGTCTCCCGATCACTTGTGAGTTCTGAAATTATTTCCCGCCAAAAACCAAATCATTTATTTTTATTTACACTAAAATCGAACAAGCGCAAATTTACTCCAGCAGCTACATGGAACAGCATTGTTTGTAAGCAAATAAATCACTATAAAAGATAAAAATGAAAGATGTCATTAAACGAGAGAAGACTGAGTCACTGATGGCCTGACTTCTGAAAAATATTGTTTCTAGACAATTTTTGATAGATAGAAGAGTGACCACTGTCCGAAGTGATTACACTCACAAGTACTACCTCAGATTTATTTAGAAGCGAACTTATTTTTCTGAAAAGCTAGAGTTCGCCAAATAGACCACGTATCATAAAGTCTTCAATCAAGCCAACCGGATAATACTATTTCTAAACTACCGCTCCACTACTAGTTCAATAGGGACGCGTATGGTGCAGTGGTCAGAGGAGCTCTGCAATAAACGTGGGACCGATCCCGGTGCCCAAGACCCACCAAGCACTCCACCTCGCGGGAGTTGGCAAATTGCTAAAACCTATCTGGGAAGATAGCAGCACTGGCTGGATACAAAGGAAGGCCACCGCACCGCGAGTTATTGTAAAGGCCAGATATGCATTCAATCACCTACAATGATGCTCAGTGAAGTTAAATGCATGGCGCATTCGTCGGGGATAGATTAATGTCGAAAGCTTTATCCTTTTCTAACTGGTTAAACTACATCGGCATAATAATTTTAGATGGCAAGGTGTATTTAGAAAACAGTATGGAGAAGCGCTTTCGCGTTAAGACTTGTGAGCAGGACTCTACGAATTTCAGCGTGAGAACCAAGTCAAGTCCATAGTGGCACGAGGTATATGAAGGAAAACGACCAGCAAATTTCCGTTCAAAAATCATCTGAGCATATAAATGAGGAATTTAGGCTACCTATTCAACAGAGACCATGCTTTACCACTGAGAAACTGTCCATGTGACTAAATTTCCCCACTGTCATCCCTCAGACGCGGTTAACAAACTGTGACCTCAAGGCATCAACATTGAACGCTTATTGATTAAACCGTTTTACTGGATTACTACACTCATAAAAACCACTATAAACTGTTCTACAGAATACTCAGACAGTTCAGAAATGTATGAAATAAAAGAAATGAACGCTCACTTCGCACCCCCAGTGAAGGGAACTCCGTTTCGTTTATAATGGTTGACTGCGGGACAGGCAGAGCAAAGTTTATCTGGTTCGTCGACCTTCTGTCCGTCGCTACTCCACCTCCGACAGAATTCATACGCGACGACGTCGTTCTTCAGCTCCTCATCAACTACAATCGCTGAAAACGTCAAGTAAACTGCAGTACAACAAAGCAGCAAACGAAAACACAGGCGTACATCGAACCGGGCGAGTTCAATACTAAAAGTACTGGTGCTCAGTGTGATCTGGATATGTACGGACTCAAAACTCAACTTCAGTGCGACTATATGACATCTCAATAGCAAGGATAGTTCAATCACATCACTAATCAGTAACGAAAGATGTTGTGAAGCTCGAACTACTAAATCAATAGAAAACTGGCCATCAAGCATTGCCTGGAGTACTTGCACACGTGCAATCAACGTACTGATGGTCAAAAACCACGAAGTAGCTCTATCAGGGTTTGGTTCAAGTTTTAATCAGTGGGAAGGGGTGCGCAGTTGTTTACCACAAAGAACGGTGAACTGTCTGCTAATAAATCACGATATTAAAGAATTTTTACAAAGGAAAAAGTAGTAATCGCGAAACATTCGTTGAAGATGCGGTGCGCAGAGAGGGTTACCAGAAGCAAGGGGTGGGTCCGCATCACGTGGCGCAGAGTGGGGACGGTGGCGAGTGAGCACGACAATCGATCGCTCCAGCTTCGGGATTCGATGGCCATGGGGTTGATCCGGCCTAGTTGCCTGTTTCGAGGGCCCTGGTCCCTGCCGTCGGATCGTCGTGAGACAGCTCAACGACGACACATTTGGCTGAGGAGAGGGGACCCGTTCCGCTACAGTCGTGCCGGCGCTCGTCGCTCCGCGGGCGGCCGCCTCCGCGGCGGAAGGCGTCTTCGTCCGCTCCACACGTCGCCCCGGTCCACGTTCCGCGTGTGCAATCTGGAATTCCGCAGCACGCAACGCGTCACTTTTGGAGCTTGTCAGAGAAAAGGGGGATTTTTTCATAATACTTTGCGGAAAGTTCGCACCAAGACGTATTTTGTGCAGCTTAACCAAACTTACTAATTCCCAGGGCCTCGGCGTTGTTCAGTATGTTAATGCCTTATTCTTGAGCAGTCATGTTTTTTGATAGCAAGGGTCATTCAGTAATGGCTGACGTTCCAGCGGTTTCCCCTTCCGGAGTGCCTGCAAAGATCAAACTGGTGCGGGAAAACGCAGTAGTTTCTTTTCGCTGGGGTTCTGAAAGTGTTTGGCGGAGTGTAGTGTGTGTCAGTTTGGCCCTTCCAGGCTATGAACAGGGTGAAACTGCCGCCGCATCAACCAGTGCTGAATAAATCGTATTACTTGCAACCTCGTGTCTGCCCAAGAAGGAAACACTAACTTGTTCAACTGAGTTTGTGTGCCAAGTACTGTACGAGTACTGCGGAGCGGCTTTTTTGTTTCGTTTCCAAAACATCTATCGTCATCTACTCCAGCTGGGTTTTGATACCGATTAGTATAAACTCATGCCAGGATTCAGATTACCAAGCATGTTTTCCTGCAAAGCCTGTTTTAATTTGCAAAAGATTTCCATGTGTGATTGCCGCCAGTGCTTTGCCGACCTCGTAATGGGTGAAAGGTGTTCTGGTGTTAAACTGGCACGGTCAGCTGGAAGTTCATGACCTTACCAGGTTCACATGGATGCTTCCATCGTACAGAAGTTTCCATCAAGGACCCCAACGTGTGTCACATCATCGTATATCACAACAGAGCCACCAACAGTTACCATTTTACCATGAAAGAGGTTAAGAGAGCTTCATACCGAAAATTCGGTGCTGTCGTGTTGTGGTCGAGTGAACGGAAACGCTAGCAGCACTGGTGTGTGGCCGGGAGGAATGAAACATACTCCCATCCACTTGGGTTACTCGGCGGTTGGCCTAATCACGGGTGATACAGATGATTTGCACTAGTGGATAGCAAGGTAGCAATTGAATATCTCTAATAACTCACTTTATAACCTACTAACATGTCGGAAGGATTCATTCCATCCAGGGTTTTTCGTATAGCGACATGTACACATTGGAAGAGACTACGGGTAATGGACGGTGATGGCACCACTAAATTTTTGCAAATGGAATGATGTGAGAGCAGCTGTGAAGCATGCGTCGAGTGGTAAAACGGATTTCAAGTCGTTCTTCACTATCTGCTGAGGGTTTGACATCGCGCTGACAAAGTCCTTGAGGAAATTTGTCTCCTTTCCCAGTTTTTCCTTCTTCTGCCATGTCTGGAAACGATAGCAGTCTGAAGATTGAGGAGAAGAAGTCGACCTGGTTACAGTTGCAGCCGTTCTGTCACTCTCATGAAGTTCATCATGGAAATGTGATGTACTCTGATGGAGTTGGGGAGCAGAGGCTACTCTTCATTGGACTTCAACCACGACTCGTAGTTGGATGTGAAAGAACGAGTAAAGCTGTTATTGGGTGAAACGGCTAATTAGCCATTTTATGTGGTAGCATTTAGAAGTGATTTTGAAGCATTGGACAAGTTTATAGGTACAGCGAGGCCACCTTCAGGGCTAATTTCTTATTAAACTCTAAGCATCATCTAATGGATGTGACTTGAGGAACACCTGTATGAAGCTGATGGCCGCTTATGTATGGCACGGGTTAGACATCTAGGGCTTGAGACATTCCCATGTCGCTATTTAAGAGTTTGTTAACCTTGTTGTTTGGAGTTCGAGTTAGATAAGCTCTCGACCTCTTACCAGTAAGTGAACAATTCCAATTGTCACCATAGTAATTGCAGCAGCTGTTTTAGAAGAACGTGTTTTGCTAAGTTCTTCCCGACGAAAAGCTCGCTCTCACGACAACACAAGTTTGGACGCTGCTTGAAGCCTGTCGCAAGACAAGGGGTAAGTGAGACGTAGTGTTTTGTGGTGCCGACGGTCCAGTAAATTCGTGTGTGTTGCAAACACGATGAGCATGTTATGCCCGAAAAATTAAGTTCGTTCCTCTTGGAAAGAGATTGAAATTACATGCAAACAGGGTAATGACGAGGTCTCTGCAGTGCCTAGCCGGTTCAAGTGATAGTGTCGTTTTCTTGTTCAGCAATCGCGAGGTTTTTAAACAGCATTCATTTACTTCCATAAAGAACACAATACAATACAACGCTAGCTGACGTTTCGGCAGTATCGCCTTCTTCATAGCCGCTTTTTCGTGACTTCCAATGAGGAAGTTTAGAACAGCTGATTATAGTCGCATGTGGTTGACGACTCACGAAAAAGCGGCTCTGAAGAAGGCGATACTGCCGAAACGTCAGCTAGCGTTGTATTGTATTGTGTTTTTCATGGAAGTAAATGTATGCTGTTTAAAAACCTCGCTATTGCTGAACAAGAAAACGACACATTCATATTCCAATGCGGAGGTTAAGAGAAAGTCGATCCTGGGAAGTATTTCAAGTGATAGTATTCTTCGATATCTTGTGTGCGTGCGTCAAATGCGACTCACGACGTCCGCATTGGGATCTGCCACTCATGACTTGTTTTCAAGAAAACGCATTTCTTGTGTCGCATTCATTGTTATCGAATTTCGTCCTTAGCATTAATTGCTGGAAAGATTTTGCTTATGTTTTTCATCTTTGTCGAGGAGCCGAAAACTTAGTGATTTCCTGGAATTCTTTATCGTTTACAACCCAGATAACCTCATGACCTGATAGGGGATCTCTAAGTTCCGAGAGTCGAGAGTTCTACTGTGCACAGGGGATTCCCAGTAGGTTCCGTTTGCTTGATGGACGCAAAAAATATCGAGATTCAGGCTTGACGTCTATCATTTTCACTATTTTGATGTGCGGGTATGAACAGGCCTTGGTGCTTGTCCGGGGTGGACAAGGGTGTCCGTTTCTTGATGGGGCTTGAAACCCATTTTTCCATTGAATAGCTATGCCCACTGACACGTCCACTGGTGCTGTTCTCTCTGTGTAGAAGATGCAAGTTTTGTTTCCTTGCTTTGGTTGAATTTTATTCTTTTCATTTCTTTACACTTCACACTTCACTATTTTCTTTTCAGTCCACTTTAATCTGCGGATCATTTTCGTCTGTATCCTTTCTGTAGCTTAGTTACATTTACTTCATTTTAGTGTCGGTGCTTCTCAGGCGATTTTCCTCAACAGCACTTCTTCTCAGACAACGAGAATCAGATGCCCACAATCCATGGGACGGCGGTCGGTCCAGGTCTCAAGTATCGGTTTGTCATCGCCACACTGCTTGTGTACATCCTGTATTCACACTGGCGTTATAATAGCAGTCTCTCTCTGGTCATCGAGAAAGCCAGTAAGTTTCTATTCCGGTTTTTGAATTATTTGGCTTCTATTCATAACTAAGTATTTCATCTGCAGTACGCTTTAAGATCTCTCCGCATGCAAGAGATTCTCAAGGAATGTTTGCTTCTTGAGATGAATTGATTTTAGGTGGGAAGTGATCTGATAGGAAATTCTCGAGAGTTTCTAAAAGTATGTCCAAAATATCTTCTTTTCTAGAATTTAATAGAATTTAAGGCAAAAATCGTATTCGAAGTACTTTTGTCGACGTCCGGCACACACTGTCTGCTTCAGAGTCATAGAAGTTTCGAGAGTTGGCAGTCCCTTGGTGATAGGTGTACTGCGGGTACTGTGGCGGCACTGTGAATCCCGTGACGAAGCAGTGTTCCGTACTGCCCGCTCAGCTTTTTCATCACCATTTTGTATAAGAGTCGACCATTTTCGGTCGACCAAGGGCTGGTTAAATGAAAGGAACCGAGAAAAATCTTTCAGAAGTTTCATACTTCAAAGTCGATCGCTCCATGCTTAACAGTTTATTTCCATCTACTATGTTCAGCGATTTCTTTAAAGCTGTTTTATGTCAAAGTCTTTCCTTATTTTATGATTTTAAAATTCAACGCAATATTTTCCATGCAGTGAAGACCTCGTGATCTTTCATATTTTTTAGTATTTTTTTATTATAAACATGTGTATGCCATGGTTCATGTTTTAGCAAACGACCTTGCAGCCTGTCAAAGCTACGCAGAAAGTTTGGTTGTAAAGTTACGTGGTAGGTTTCATTTTTTTTCCTTAAGACCGGTTTCGCAGTGCACAGTTCAGTTTAGCAACCGGTGGTTGTAGGCTTATCATTTTTGATGTACATATGTTGCTAAAGTCGGTTGCACTGCTAGCAGAATCTGCTTCTGAAAGGATTACTTTATATCTATACATATGTTCTTATGAACTGCCTCCTTCCAACTATTTGCATTTACCCCTTCATCGTGGCTAGGACGTGTTTCTAGGTGTCGGGTACGTTGTACAGGAGAGGATTCATTCCCCTGGCAGGGTCTCCCAAGATAAAAAAGAGTGGTGTTTCGATCAAGAATCCCAGCCAGCTAAGAGTAAACCAGCACCAGGATCCGTCACCATTTTGGTACCAAACTAGTCGCATGGTGGCAAATCTCTCTCTGATCCACAACAGTGGCTACTGCCTGTGGTGGTGACGACCTATGGCAGACTTTGGTCTGGCTGACCTTGGGACTCCAAGGCACCACAATGACTAAACCAGCAAAATTCCGAAGAAATGGAGACTATGCTGGGCCCAGCACAACCAGTGACGGCGGGCCATCCAAGTATCCAAGTAAGTACAACCACAACGTTGCTGAGATATTTGCAAAACTCTGGACCGCAGGTGTCTATGGTGGGGAACGAACGCGCTATTATCCTTTCAGGGGAGTAACGCGTTCACCACCACACCATGCGGGTCCTTTGTTTCGCACGTCTCTCAGCTATTTCTATCGATCTTTTTGCCACAGCAATCACCCGTCAGCGGGGTTGATCTGGGGAGCGCAAATCGGCATAGAACCCAGTTAAGCTATGGCTGTAGTTGAAATCACAATGTTTTTTATATTTTAATTTATTAATTTATTAATTTATTAATTTATAAATTATAGAAGGCAGAAAACAAAACGTTAAACATATCCAAGTAAGTATTCAAGTATGAACTGTCCTTCAGCTGTCGCAAGGTTGATGTAGATGTCCTTACTGTTATAGATTGTTGTAAAGTTACGTGGTGTGTAGTAACAGCAAGAATATCCGTATCAACCTCGCGTCAGCTAAAGGAGGGCAATTCATAAGATGGTATATATGGATATATCGATTAGTATGCTGAGGCTTATAGAAAGTTGATCTTTTGGGTTGTTTTTTGTTAACCATGGTATCCTTTTAGTTATTTTCGAGCATAAGAAAAGGTTGGAGAAGATTTTCAATCTTAAGCGGCTTGCATCTCGTGGGAAGATCAAAGGTATGCTCCTACCATACATATGCAGTTATTTTCAAATTTGAATCTCCTATGGTTGTTTAGTTCATGAACGAATGTTGCGAATATGTCAAGAGAATTTAACACTACTGTCGGTGAGTGGTGTTCGTTGATTTCTTCTCTGCCGTTGCTCAACTTTAGGTGTCCGAGGGTCATGATTTTTTCTTCTTGTTAATCCTCGGATCCCTTAATGTGAGAGAGATCGAGCTGATTAGTTTCAAGATCACTTGACACGTCCTCACATCACTGGTGACATTTAGACGCAGTTGTTTTCTACGAGTCACAACTGATTTCAGGGAATGGCCTCCATGTTTGTACCGCATGAGATTGCCTTTTACCTTTCGCGTTCATGTGGTTCCATTCATGCATGTGTGTCTTCATGTACTTGCTTGTGTATTCTCTACGTCAAAAACCAAAACTCAGACAAGTAGGAAGTAAATACATTGAAGATGTTGGCAGTGTTATTTTGAAAACTAACAGAACAAAACGCAGAACAAGGGCCTCCGTGGTGCAGTGTGTAATGCGCGAGACTCCGGACCCTGGCCCTGAGTTCAAGTTTTGCGAACATCTCAGCATCGTTGTGGTTGTAATTCACATCATATCCTACCGTGAAAAACTGTTATAGGCAGAAGATGGAAGGTTAACATTGAAGAAGGTTCGGAATTGTTTCCGAAAAGTATAAGGCCATCTTATGCTCACCAAAATCTCGACAGTACGTGTGATGCACACTAAGTCCCTTCGGGAGATCGAGAGCTTCTTACGGATATCATTTCTTCACAACAAGTACCATTAAAACGTGTTATTCGATAGTTATGATTCCGCTTTAATACCTGAAACAAACGAAACCCATTGAGCAGCTGTGGAGTACGACAATGACGAAATAACTGATGCGGATAGGAATGACGATACTCTAGATGGTATGGGCGGTTTTTCACTTATCATCAGTGTAATTGTGTTTAAGTGAAGTTCTTAGGTAAAACATTTTGAAGTCACTGTCCTTCTTTGCTATGCAGTACTAATATTAATGGCATGCTTTTGATTAGAATATATGTTATTTGCCATGCTTTCTTTCAGTATGATGGGTTAAGCTCCATGCGTTTTAGGCTCAAATCGACAACTGTCAAAGTAGAAATGTTGGCCGAAGTGTTCTAAATAATCAGGAGAGAACTGAGTTCGACAATCTTCGAGGTGAGTAGTGTGTTCGTCATTCACTTCCACACCTCATTTGACAAGGAGTTAGGAGACATTTGAGTTATTATATTATCATGTGTTTCTGTTCTAAACTAAAAGCTCGAATTCGATGTTTTCTTCAACAAGCAGACACGAAGTTGTTATTATAGAATTTATTAGGATACAATAGCTGACATTTCGGCGGTTTTGCCGTCTTCAGAGCCTGGAAAGGTCAAATTGGAATGCGATCTACTCAGCCAAACACTTTCATAACCCTAACAGATAAAACTTAACAAATAAACTTGTATTCGCATAAGAAACAGCTTCCTTTGAAAACCCACCGTTTTATTCGTTGCAAGTATTCCAATTAGTTAGTGTATAGCAGCCGCACAGAGTAATATATGGGCGAGGGCAGTGCCTGTGTCAGCTCATTGGGATCAGCCCGAGGTATGGCGCTAGATCACGCGCGATGACCAGAGACTCCTCCTTGCGGTTCATTTTTGAATTTTTGGAATTGATCTAAAGCGCTTCAAGGGTCTTTTGCGCTGATGTTTTCGGTTCGTGCGTGAGGATAGTGACTCCTGCTTCAAAATCTTCCCCGTTGTGTTTCTGCATCCTATGCGCGCCTGGTGGAGTGTTTTGTTTTAATTTAGATTTACTGATTAGGTGTTTTTTTTTACGCAAAGCGGTTTACCCGTTTCACCGAGGTGTTCGTCCCCTCACGCTTTAAAATAGATCAGATAGAGTGAACCCGAACTCATGCAACAGTTCAAATGCCGCTTAATACCAGGGTGATTTTCTTAATAAGTGATTTTAGAAGTAAATAAACTTGAATGCGGATCCTACTGTTTTTTTCTATGAAGGATAAAGGATAAGGATAAAACAGAAAGCTCTCAGCGATGACCAATACCTGAGAGATGCGCCGTGCATTCGACTTCATTAAGCATCGTTGAAGGTATATTGAAGGAATGCATGTTTGGCCTTTACAATGAGTCGCGGTGGTCTACCGATGTATCGAGTCAATGATGCTGTTTTCTTGGAGAAATCGTACGAATTTGCCGACCCCGGAGGGATGTAAGGCTTGATGGGAGCTGGGGTGCGGAGAACTATCCCATGTGTATTCCAGGGCGCATCCGACCTATACGCTAAACGCGCCCTTATTTTAAGGCGCAAAGTATATACGCTGTCAATCTATCCTGATTAGATAACGGTTCAAACGTGAAGCAAAGTGACAAAGAAAGTTGTGTAATTGCAAAACATGAAGTTTGGTTTGTATCCGTGAGAACTGTGGAATTTAAATAAACCTTTTAGCTCAGACCGCTGCATTGGCATCCCTTAATGGCAGTTTAAATGTGAGTTCCCCGTTTATATTTCTTCTGTCTCTTCTGCTCCTCACTTGTGGCTTTTAATCTGTTGTCCCAACTTTTTCAATAATAAATATTGCCACTGCCATCTTCGCAACGGTTTGCCGCCTCATCGTTGCTCGGAAATGTTCCCGAGTGTCGGTCTGCAATGTGAAGCGGAGGATCCATCCCTACAGCAATGTCTCGCAAACTGAGGAATCCGGCGTTTCCATCGGGAAGCCCGCTAAGAGTAAACAACTAACAGGATCCACCACCGTCCTGGTATCAAACCAGTCGCATGGTAGCAAGTCTTCGTATGATCCACAAAGGCGGCGACTGCCTGTGGCGGTGACGTTCTGGGGCAGACTTTGGCTAGGTTGACCTCAGGACTCCAAGACACCATGATGGCTAAGCCAGCAAGACTCCGAAGGATGAAACTGTGCTGGGACCCGCACAACCAGCGAAGGTTGGCCATCCAAGTATCCAAGTAAGAATATTGCCACCAGTAGTCCTATCTTAGTCTAATGTTAGTTTTTATGTTCACAGTTAAGTATAATTCTTTCGTATATTCTTACAGAAAGTTATCTCAAAATTTTAGGAGGTTATCTTGAAAAAACAAAAAGAACTTGAAGCTTGTGGCAAGGAAGTATTAGATTTGCAGGTGAACAGCAGATATTTTACTTTCATATAAACTTTGAAAATGGAATTCTTTCCAGAATTCCCTTTCCACTTGTCAAGAAACTGTCAATAAACATGTCGGAGTGAGTTGTTCATTTATGTATTTTTATAGAAAGGGTTTCTACAGCGTATGAACTGCAAGATTTTAGCGCCATTTATCCGATAATTCGATGTTTTATTGGAGATAGACCACGTGCTATGTGCTTGAAAAAGTGGAATTAACCAAGAACAATGTTAACTTAGTACGTTAGAAGAAATGCTTTTATAGTAATGTAGGTAGGGGCAAAATCACAAACATTCACTTAGCTAGGTTCATTTAAAGATGTTGTAACGTTTTTTTTCATAAGCTCATCAATTCCTCTAAGGACATAAAACAACGTTGAGAAAGTAGGTAAGGATCACGCAGTTCCATTATATGTGTATAATGAAGTAGTTTCATGATCCGAGAACGAGTTTATGGTGGGCAGCGACCATGGTGTTGTGCTACCATAGCTTGGCATCAGTGCTGCCATTGTTGATGAACCAGCATTTGCGTAGAGTGTCTTAAAAAGAGAAGTAGGAATCTGGCAGTTTTCAAAAACAATCTGTTCCAGATCTTATGTACTTCATAGGGTAGTCGTGCCTGTTCTGTAAGTTCGAAGCTTTTTCCTTCTACTGATACACGTTGATTATTCTCCAAGTTGCTTACCATATCCAAATTTTTGTTCGTTGAGGCCATATAGTGCTGTTCGTTGGGTTGGATATCCTGTCCATCATTACTGATCGATGGTTTAATGTCTATTGCTGGCTTCGCTTCCTAAATAATAGTATGCAATTAACTTCGAGAATTAGACTTGCTCTTGTCTGGCTAGTTCGAAGAAAAAATACATTGGTGTTTTATACTTGTAGACTTGATAATTTAAGCTTATTTCGAATCTAAGTTGATATACTAGGACGTCCTTAGTTTAGGATAGTGAGTGTTGCGTACAAACGGTACTTTCTTAAATATTCCACCTAATTCATAGCTATTAGAACTGTCACCGAGCATAGTATTCCGCTTGTTCCAGCGGGAAAGAAGGCGCTATTGTAGGAGGGTAGAGGCTGAGTAGTTAAGGGATGTCCAGCCTGATCGAACGATGACATTCCTACGGCGGAGAGATCTGATGACATTTGATACGGTAAGCTCTAAAAATTTATGTTACTTTAAGACACCGTTCACTACCAAGAATACACGTTCTGCATCTGTTACTACAGTAAATCTATTCGAGTTGAACACTAAACTGATTTTTTTTTAATTTGGGTAATTTCCTTAATAAGTTTTGTTTCAGTTAATTTTCGATATTTGGTATTGATCGGTTGCTCTTCCTTTTTACTCTCTTTACTAAAATTTACAGATTGCACTGAACTGGTTTTTGCACTACTCATGAAGAATGCCATGTAAATTTTATAGGTGTAACTACTATAGCCAAATACAAGAACCTTAGGAACATCTAGGGGTACATATTCATTGCGCCCTGTACTCATTAGGAACCAAACAACTTTTTAGCCGAATCGTGTTTAATGTTTCACAAACAAAACTCCTTCCACTACGGCTGCATTAAAACTATTATATCACATCGTCTACTGAAATATCCATCCATGCTAAGAAACGCGTTTTGTTTTCAGGATGTGCTAAAAGAGGTAAAGATTACCACATAGTGATGGTGTTACGGTCAAAAAGTCTATTGATGGTATTATCATGTATGTCAAATATTAATAGTTACTTACTTGGGTACGTGGATGGCCCGTCTTCTCTGGTTGTGTAAGTCCAGCATTAATTCCATTTTTTTTTCGGAGTTTTGCTGGTTTAGCCATTGTGGTTCTCTGGAGTCCCGATGTCAGCCTAGCCAAAGTTTGCTCTAGGTCGCCACCACCCTAGGCAGTCGCCGCCCTTACTGATCATAGAGAGATTTGCCACCATACAAGTAGTTTGGTACCAGGACTGTGGCGGATCTTAGCATTGGCTTACAGATACTAATAATGTATTTATTTGTTATTTTCACTTAGTGGAAGAGTAGTAGTTGATGAAGGCAATATCGATATTGAAGCACCAGAAACTATTCGAAATTGGTAGGAAAGCTATACGACATACATTGTGAAGGTTTTGGATGAATATTACTGTACAATATTGTTAGTCTGAGTCATTCGTGAGTGCCTTTGTACTTTTCCCAAGCACAGAAATTAGACATTTTGTTTTTTTTGAATTTAATGGCTTTTTACTTTGCTAAGTTTTTGTCTAAAATTTCAGAAGTTTCTGTGTGATATGACTTACTCCTCCCATTAACATCATATGCATAGGGTCTAGAGCAGTAGCGCCGTGCATCCTTGACAGTTGCCATTGCCGTAGATAAGAAAGTTGATTGTTTTCAACTACCGAAGAAAACCTAGCCGCATAAGGTGGAGTGCGCTTGATTCGCCTGGAAGAGAACTTTTTCAGAGCAAATAAACATGCGTAAGGTATAAGCAGTAAATGGTATTTTTCCCAGAAAACCTCAGCCGGTAATGTCGGTTTGATTTCCTAAGTGCTTATTTGTTCTGCGACTCAAGTGACAGTCCTACCTCCTTTTATAGTTTCCATTGTCGAACATAGGCGTACAATCTGCGGCCAATGTCCAGTAGTTTCCTTTGCGATCGTTAGCATGGCTCATTCCATCACGCGCCTGTTGAATCATTTTCACTGTCATTCCTTAGTTTTATCATTTTATTATTATTTTTTATTACTATTGTGTTATATTTACTATTGTTATTAGTCACCACTATTTTTAAAACTATATTATGTAAAAGTACTACGGTCTCAGTAATCTACATCGATTTCTAAAGCAAATTTTATCGTACCACCTGTAATAAATTTTTTTCTACCGTGCCTCAATTTATACCGAAAAGCTAATCAATGGTGAGGAATAAAAAATACGCTTTTATGGTTGGTCGATTTTCTGGAAATTCAGTAACAACTGCACGAAGAATTTACTACATGCACCGATATAATAGACCGGAATCAGAAAATTGCGTGAGAGGTGAGAGTTGTCATTAATGTATTGGACTGTCCGGAAATAGTGTTGGATTTGCAATTTTATTTTAGTTTAAGTACTATGACATCCCATCGCAGACCGAACCTCTTCATGCCTCTTCGCCTACACACTTCAATTTCGATAAAAATTTTCTTGCTGACAAATTTTAAATGTAAGAATATCGGATGTCAAAGCAGCAGGTTCGATGAATCTACTTTTGCAATTTCAAACTCCGAGGAAGTCTAGCAGCGGAAAGACATGCTGAAAACATTTGATTGAACATGGGATCAAGGAAATGTCAACGAACGCACGGTGTAATGTTAGTTCTAAAATGTTCGTGATGGCGAATTCGATGTTGAATCTGAGGGAAGCTGTGGATGCCATGCTGTCGATGACGATGAATTTAAGGCTTCGATGGGAGTTATTCATGCGCAACTATTCGAGATCTTGGAGAAGAACTCGTTATAAGTATTTCACCTGTTTCGGAGCATCTAGAGATAACCACAATGATGTTCAGCTATTTGGCAAAGTCGAACCCTCAATCAGCTTCTATCTCGCGATTACTCTTTTCGGGGGTTCACGTGTTACTCACTGCACTACCTAGGCTCTTGCTTTACCTTTTTCTCAGCCATTTTTTTTCTGCTATAGCGGTGGTATCAGGAATTACCCGTCAAACGAAATGGATTTGAGGAGTACTGGAGTAAAAATCAGCATTGAACCCAGTTAACCTGAATCTGGAAGCAAAGGCCTCGGTGATGCAGGGGGTAAGGGTAGTAACACCTGAGGCCCCCGAAAGTTTAGTCAAGAGTTCGAAGCTGGCCTAGGGTCTCTACTTTTGCAAATATCTCAACATCATTGTGGTTGTATTTTACGTAATAACCTGCTTGAAAAAATAATAGGCAGTAAATAAAAAGTTAAACACCTAAAGACAACTGGAAAGTCCAAGATGCTCCACAAATGGATGCCGCATGAATTGAATGACAATCAGAAAAATCGTTGTTTTGAGGTACTCCCCTCTCCTGCACAACCAATGCGACCAGTTTCTTGACCGCATTGTAGCGTGCGACGAAAAGTGGATCCTCGGTGATAATCGACGGCAATCGCACCAGTGTTTGGACCACGGTGATGCTCAGTAACACTTCCCAAAGTCAAAGTCTCAGCAAAAGGTCGTTTGGTGGTTTACTACTGCTTTAACCCATCACGGCTTCCGGAGTCCGAGTGCAACGGTCACAGCGAGTACTTCCGAGAAATTGACGAAATCCACCAGAAAGTTCAACGGCTATTCCCCTCATTGGTCAGCAGCAAGGTCCCAATCATTCTCCACGATAACGAGCAGTCAGATGTCTCACTAACGACACTGCAAAGATTGAATGAACTGGGCTACGGAACTTAGCCTCATACACTATACTCGTCGTACCTGTCGCTTGCTGATCACCACTTCTAATCAATACCTTATTAAATACGGTTGAAAACAAATTATTGTCAACGGATAGTCGTTGTCAACAACAATCGTGTAGTATAAGAGAGTGCTCACTGAAGAAAGTACGACTGGATACCGTGATGAATACGCCGAATCGAGAAGACAAACAACTGTTGACCGTCGACTCGGATCATCGACTCTGAGGGGGACGAATACTTAGAAACGTTTGCCAAATGAACATCTATATCAACTGCGTGTTAGCTTAGCAATATTAAGGAATACTAATTGTTAGTACCGTTGTTAAATGGTGATGGATTTGAAAATATTGGTGGTTCTATGCTTATTCTTAGTTTATATATGTTGCTTCAAAAGTACAAGTTGAAATCCGCCATTAATTTCCGAATAACCTGATAGGTTGCCCTCTCATAATTGCATATTAGAATTACGTGCGCCGTGCGAGAAGAATTCAAACTGTATCAATAAACGTTTTGGATCCTCATAAACAAAATCCATGTGTTCGAGAAATTATGTGGCATGACGGCAAGATATTAAATAGCGAATGATCAAAAGCTGATCAGGAAATTGTTCCTTTTCGCGAAAGCACAGAATAGAAAGCTTTTTTGCGAGCCAGCAAGTGATTTTGAAGCAATACTTTGGACAAAAGTTTCCTTAAAAGTAGTAATGAATCGCTTTATTAGCAATTTCAATAAAACTTTATCCACATTCCATTTTCCGAATGTCATCAAACTTTGTGAAATTAGAGATTTGGAGGAAAGGCTTTTCCTACTTCAGAACTCCTAAGAAAGTTCCGGAAAGTATGAAGTTGACGTGCCAAAGGTTCTGCCGTTAACCAATGTTATTTGCCTGTAAATCAACGAGGATTTGAGGCAATTTTCCTTCACTGGGGAAGGAGAGGAAAAACCAGCATTGTGATCTTCAAGAAAAGAAGGATCAAAATTTGTAGAAAACGATTCAAAGAAATTTGCAACGTCGCCTGTGATTTGTTTTATCGTCCGAGATTTATACGAGAATCCCTGACAGATAGTCTTAGAAGATATACTGGGACCGAAACTCCCTGTTCTTTAGGTTTCTAAGCTTCTTGCGCAATGGTTGTCAGGAAAAAATGGATGGACATGTAACTGTTGATGATAGCGTTTCGATTACTGGCGGTAATTTCCCGACAACTAGAGCTCTCGAGTACTTTGGAACAAGATACTTTGACCCTTTGAGGTAAACATATAAATAATTTCTTTGAAACTCTTTTTTATAACTCCCATAATGCTGAGATATTTGCAAAACTCCGGACCGCAAGTGTCTGCGGTGGGGAACGAACGCGCTATTGCTCTCTCCGGGGAGTATTGCGTTCACCATCACACTATGCGCGTTCTTCGTCTCACCTGTCTGTCAGCTAGTTTTATCGATCACTGCCATCAGCAATCACCCGTCAACGGGATTGATCTGTAGAGCCCAAATCGGAATTGAACCCAGTTATGCTGAGGCTATAGTTATAATCACAGTCTTAACCTTTTATTTACTGCATATTCTTTTTAATGGCAGGGTATGTTGCGAAATATAACTTCCATAATGCTGAGATATTTATAAAACTGCGAACCGCAGGCGTCTGCGGTAGGGGACGAACGCACTATTGTCCTTTCTGGGGAGTAACGCGTTCAGCACCACACCGTACGGGTCATTCGTTTCGCCTGTCTCTCAGCTAGTTCTGTCGATCACTGATCTCTTTTTTATGTTTTAAAAAACATTTCTTCCGAAACAGTGAAACTTAGTTTTACATTCCTTGAACCGCATCGATATGGACTACCGAGCGCATGATGAATCTATTATTAATATGATTCAAAATTGGATACCTTCTAACACTAGGACAAAGATGAGATTTCTACCTGGGAAAAAGATGAACAAAGGATAATAATGCAAGGTTTCACGATGGGTGCGGTGCAGATGACGTGCGATAAATCTGTGACTTTAAAGGTACTGTTGGAAAATTCTTAAATAAGGATGTAAAACACTCTTTTAATGAACCTATTCGTTAAGCTGTTCTTACTATTGCTACTTTTTTGGTTTAAAAAAGCTTGAGAAGAATGTTGTTTATGGAAAAGCAGCATCCATCAGAGGATCGTTTTGCTCGTGTGATGATATAATCCGTACTAAAGAAACAGAAAATGTTGGTGTAGCATAGGAAAGGGAAACAGCGTAGTTTATACTGCTTAGGTGGAGGCGCATTCAGGATTTTGAGACTAGCATTCAAAAAAAAATTTGAGAGGATTCGTACATTAAAGCTACGAAGAGTGAGACGGTAGCAAAAATCTGAAGAAAACTAGCAAGTCGTAAGGGCGATAGGTGCTTTGGATCTAATTCTAAAATCACAATATAAGATGGAACTATAACTTAAAGTCTCTACGAATGCGTTACTTGTCGGGATTGTCGGGATCTTGTGAGAAGTTCTAAATCTCTTTCTGTAGTTCTTTTGAGAAGACGTGTCAGTTCAAGTGTATGTCGCACAGGAATGAAGGAGCTCGGTGCAGTTCTGCTATGTAGTGGGTGTAATTATGGCTATATATTATTAGGTATAATTATGGCTGTATGAATAGATCTGGTCTTCTAATTTCGTCATTTTTGAGCCTGTTGAAGTCGTGATGGATACTGTCCTCGTATAAAAAACTGTTTTACTGCAGGATAACTGCCTGAATATCTTAAAGTTTCTCACCTACAGTAATTCTAGAATGGTTCTCTTGTCCGGTAAAATTTTGTGTGGTCACAAAAGATTACTATTTTTAATGCTGTGACGCCTTATACGTTGTGTGTGTGTGTGCATATATATATATATATATATATATATGTATTTGTACGTGTATGTGTTTATGTGTATGTGTATGTTTATGCGTATGTGTATGTATATGTGTGTATATATATGTCTATGTATGTGTGTTTTTTATAACTTACCCTCTTCAGGAAACAATCGTTGAGCGATAGATTATGTCGAATACTGTTTTGCCATCCCTGACGGCGTTTCGGATCCGCAGAACGATAGTAGGGAAATTTGGCATCAATAAACTATAATGCATAACTTTACAGAAAAATATAGATGATTGCAATGGTAAACTAGGAATTAAATCCACAAGCATTAGATAGATAGAATTTCGATGCCAAAAAATGGTTGAGAGACGGGGTAAGCTGATATAGAATTGTCACCTTGCTACTGCTTCACATTTAATTCAAAGAATTGAGGTCACCTTTCCTTTCAATTTTCTAATAAAAAAGCTGTTGACGTTGATCAATCTCTGAGGGATGCGCCATGCATTAGACTTCATGAAGCATCGTCTGAGGTGATTTCATCCATATATGGTCTATGCCATAACCGCGGTGTCTTACGGATATATTTTTCCAACTTCGGAGGGATGGAGAGCTAGGTGAGCGTGGTGGAACGCGGGATCGATCCCATGTGTATTGGGGGCACCTCTAACCACAGCTCTACACGCTCCTTATCTGTGGAACAGATACTGATACATTTTTTTAGTCGTTTACACTAGTGAGTACTTACTCCATAAATAAGTTGAAATAATAATTTTCCAGTGAATTGTACAGGAAAAGAGCGCTTACGATGTTCATACCATTCAAGAGGTGTTTTTGAGATCGCGATTTAATCGAAATTTGAGCTCGGTGTTCTTAATAGTTGGTGCCTGATAATAGATATTCCTTGTATCTGAAGTCTTAATCTGTAGTTTTTTAAGTACAAACTAAATTTGGTAAGCACCTAAGTGTGTGGTTGTTGGAGCTCCAATTTAAATTCACGGCCGTTGTCTCCACTTTTGTCGCTAATGAATTTTGTTTTTTTCATTTAAGCAATCAAATATCATAAGTGAAGAGTTCTGTCCGATGTGCCAAGATGACACAGGCGTATTTTTGAAAAGCAAAACGCGAAAGGCGAGCCGATGAAGTGAGTGTTCTTGTGTGGGCGAGCGCGGATGTTTTGATGAGAGGGGTACGATAACCAAGGCGGCGGACGAATGCCACGCGGTGTACTGTCGCTGTGGCTTCATTGCGCAGAATGTGTTTCGTAATGAAAGCAAACGGCTGAGTAATAAGCGAAGAATAACGCTGATTATCTGTACTAAATTGCTTGGAACCATAAGTCTTTATGGTCATTCTTCTAAGTGAAACAGGATTTTCCGCTGTTTTTTGAAATGCAGAAATAAAAATTCTTTGACGTATTTTTAAAAACGGTGCTGTGTGCTTGAATTTATTTGCATCGAGGTTGCACAAGCGAAGAAAGGCTTTTATATTCGATTTCTGTATAAGAAGAAGATCGGTCAGTAATCAATTTCACATGAGAGCAGTAATCGCGGCATCGTTTTGCTCCAAACTATCATAGGATTTTCAGTTTTTACATGCATACGTTTTATTTTTATTAACTTTATATAAGCACTTTACGAGTTCTACCCCACGTCTTATCATCACATTCGCTCAAAAAATTACCAGAGTTGTTTTTCACGTAAAACTCAAGCAACCGGTCTGAACCAAACTCTCCTTTTGCAAAGATCTAAAACGCTTCTTAACTAAAAGAAACACTTGCCTTGTAAATTTGACTGAGAGTGAGGCGCTTCTCAGGTGAAGCTTCAATAGCCATAGCAATGAGTGCCACGTAACTGTACGGTGGTTTTTCGTTTTCGGTACCTTCTTCTCTGAAGTAGTGTATGCATTTGACTTTCTGATTCTATGGACCTTACCTCAGTGATTTTTATGCCTTTGTACAGCATAGGGAAACTTTTTAATGGTAAGCTTTGCATTGGCTATCAATATTAATTTCCATACAGTTATAGTGTTGAACACTACGTTCGTGGAATATTAGAATTTGTTTAAGAAGTGAAAGCAGGCGTCGTTTTATAAGAGTTTGTACAGTTTTGTAACTGATCAGAAATGGAACCGAACTAGCAATGTTGTTGAACGATCCGTACGAGTGCATACGTCACCTTTTGTGGTATAATTGCGGAAATCTTCTTAATGTGAAATGTAGTTTTATAAGAGTTTGTGAAAAACCAAATAGAAATGAGACCGAACTAGCAATGTTACAGAAGGGATCCAGAGTAAAGGGAGTATGCACATCACGTTTGTGGTCAAGCCTAGTCAAACTTCGCTCTGATTTGTAGTCGTTGACATTTGCGCTTTTGTTGCCCATCTCAGGCAAAATATTTATCCGCTGCTCCGCTGCATATTATTCAACACACTGCGATATATTTTGAAAGCTGTTGTATATTTTGCTTCCACAAAAGCGTAAGCAAAACTCAACATGTTCGTCCAAGTGATGCGGTGAGAATTAATGAATTTTCTGCCGAGCCACATACCTGACGGGGAAATGCAGTCCATTGGATACCGGAGTGGCGTTGGTGGACGGCAATCGAGATGCGCTCATGCTTGCGAATGGCGGAGAGACGGACGACTACCGTCTCGATCATTTCTTGGCGTCCGTCTCTCACTCTCTCCGAGCGGAATTTTTTGATGCCCGGCTTGTTTCAGGACCCCCAGGGTTTTTCATTAATATCCAGCAAATACAGATACATTTTTTCTCCATAGTACTTGTTTTAAGTAATGTTTCCTCATTAGACAGTTCTTAGAATGACTGCTAAAAAAGTGTGAATGTACCCGCTGCATTCGTCGTTTGGAGGCGTCTACTTCGGAAGCATTACAATTTTTAGATCATTTTTCATTGTCTGATTGCCTCATAGCTTGTGCAAAGTAATGAATCTTATTAATTGAATAATTTATACAAAGCAATCTCTTTAAATTGGGTCACTATCTGTTCAATTCTTAACGCTTCGTTTCATATTCCGTTGGTAGTAAATCTCCAGTTATCTGATACAGATTTTCGTGTGGGATTTCATCTCAATCCTTGGTTTGGCATCTTCTCCTTTTTCTTCGTATATTCAGTTTTATCTCTTGAATGCCTATTACTAGACTTTATCAAACCAGAGACTTGAACTTGTTTTTTTTTTCCGTTCTATTAGAACGCACAAGAGCGATTTTGTACGTAGGTTTTATCAACAAATTTGTTCACAAAGGACGAAAATAATGATAGAATCAATATGAGAGCTGAAATTTTGTTAACATTGTTTGGGCTAAAACTTTTATCGTACTTTTTTTAACCGTTATCATGCGCGAATGGCTATTTCCCAGTAATGTTGGATGTGAGTAATATCGCCTAATATTGTATTGTTTAAACGTTTCAATTTCAGGTGGCCCCTGTTGCTCACTACACTCAGAACAAAACAGCTTATTTCGAGAGGAAGTATAAGGTGATTCAATATTCGGTATTCGATATAAGGCGACAATATGATTTCAGCTAAACTCAGTTTAGCTTATATTAATGCTGATTTGTGGTCTCCAGACCATTCCCGCTGATGGGTGATTGCCCATGGCATCGTTAGGTTAATAAGACTGGCTAAGAGAAAGCTCGGACGAGGGCATCAGTGGTGCTATGCGCAACATGTGAACCTCCGGAGAGGGTAATCGCGGTTTGATCTGACCTGGGGTAATTCAGCAGTTTGAGCGATTAAACTGAGTCAAATTTTGGTCTTGTCTCTTCCTTTAAATTCACCTTTCTTGAAGTTTGTGACATGAGTCATTGATATTTTGTCATTGTTTCGATTCGACAACCATCTTTTGCTCCCATTTTCTTCGAAAATCATTTATTATACCAAATTTACTTCATTTATTTAGTCTTTTTTCCCGTTCACACTGATTTTTTCACATCTAGGTCGGCGATGCTTTAGCGTTCGATCGTGACCAAGATGCTTTTAAGCCGCCGATGCTTCTACCAGCCAAAGAGTTGTTGGGAAAACTCGCCGAGAAGGCGCAACGTTCTTTCCATGCCGAAGATGCTGACCTGCATCCAGACGATCGTGGTAACGTTGGTGGGTTTCGTTGGTTTAGTATATTTTATTATTTGGAGTTTTACAAGTAAGCAATGTATTTGAGAGAGTTGGGAAATATAGTTTATTGAACTGGTCTATGGCTATTTTCTAGCATTTAACTATCTAGTATGTTTCAGATGACTATGTCAATGAGGTACCTGATGTGAATGAAAAGGATTATAAGGAAAATAAACAGTTTTAGAGGTACGGTTTGTCATTAGGTCTCGACCGGCAATTTTTTATTGAATGAAGGTGTTAGTTATAAGATTTTACTGGTACTAACACCTTATTTTCTTCTTCACATCTGTCTACATCTGAATTGTTTTACACAATACCATCTCATTTCCTTAAATTTAAACAGCATTTTTTTCTTAATAAAGGGTATTTCATTTTTTTCGGCTATATATTTCATTTAAGATCACTTCTACTACTCTTGTTGTTTAACTGTGGAACTTAGTGTTATTTCCTTCTGTTTGCGTGAACAGTTTCATTGTCAAGCGTAGAAGTGGTAAAGAATGTGAGACGCACAGTGTCGACATTCTTCCTCGAGATCGCATTTCAAGGTCGACATTTGATGATAGGGATGCGTCGTCGTGGCGAAGGTTCATCAGGTCGGACGGGAAAATATCGCAGAGCGACCTACTCGTCGTGAAATGCTTCATGAGTAAACGTTAGCCTGCGCGCTGATTCATAACATTTACTAGATACGCTTGTGTGTTATTCCTCCTAGTGAAGGTTTCGTACGAAAATAGTGAACCGAAGTTTTAGGATAAACCAGTACCATTATGTTAACGTCTTGAAGGGTCATCTGAAAAATTTGTGTGAGGGATTATATACACATTTGTTCAGAATTTTTGTAGCAAATTTCATATCAGCCACTGTAATAGCTGAGGCAGGTATTGAGAAGGTGCCTCTAGTTTTTCAGTCCGACATTTTGGTGTGCGTGTCAGCATTGTATAATAATGCCGCTTATCTCCAGTAAATATCGCAAGTGTACTGAAAGTTCCCAGATGGGAAAACCAAGTTGGTGGTTTTGTCTTGTTGAAATTTTGAGAGATTACTTGAGAAGGTGAAAATTGAAAAAATTCGAAGGATTACTGTACTGAATTGCATATTTGATGCAGATTGTTGGCATAGCACATTTACTGGAGTTTTTCGTGCTCGTTTTATCTGAACTTTCTGAAAGCGTTCAGAAAGTTAACGGTTGAAGTCGCATTGATAGTCCAGCGACTGACGAGCGAATGCATTGTGTTTCCTATAAAATTCTCAAATTCTAGCATTAGAAGTGCTTAAGTTTTACTAAGGCTTCAGAAATAATAACAACGCTGTTATCACGTCTTGTTTTCAAAATTAGTGCTAAGATAGTAGTTTCTTTATGAGAGGTAGAGCTGGTAGCAAACTTCAACGAACAATGTCTCATCGAAGGATACCACGTGACTGTTTTCAGTTAAACTCTTTCCCTCTCCAATGAAGCGGTGCTCATAATTTCAGAATACTTGTAAAAGCTGTTTACTGAGTAGAAATCGTAACTATGCATCATTACAACTAGTGGTGCGTCGTTATATTCATCAGATCATATTAAAACCAAAATTTTTCTTTGAAGGATCACTATTTTATTTAGTGCATGCATTTTAAGTAAATTACGCGGTTTCATTCCTCATTTTTATTGGTCTTTTTTTCTCGATTTAATGAAACCTCGAAAGATTCCGGAGAAAAGTTTTCAATTTGCTTGTGAATATTTCTTCTTTAAAAAAATTAAAGGTCTTAATACTGATAGTATCCTGGAGTAGGACGAAAAGAATGCCGCAAGTAGGGTAGTTTCATGTTCCAGCTCGCTTCTAGATGAGACTATCGGCGGCGGCCGTTACGCACTTTGTCGTACTCACACAGCAACCTTGCGGTCATATCAGCTACATATTCATCTGTCGTGCATTTTGGGTTTTGACAACAATTTTAAATATCCAAAAGCTGTTAAATTCCAACATTTACCTTGTGGTTGTTTCTGGTACATTGCGGTGAAGACCACCTAGCTGTTTCCTCCTCTTTCAGTATTTCATATTCGATGTGAAACTACTGAAATGCTGGAATGCCTCTTAACAATCCGCTCAGCTTCGCTGGCATCTGCTGCTGTGCGCCCTCGTTTGATCTCGTTGAAGTCATTCAGGAGCCGATTTTCTCTATTCTATTAAAAATGGCTTGCTTTAAAGAGACGTCGATTCTTCGTTCTGTGTTTTCTTGGGTATTTTCCATGTTTCGAAAAAGTTCGTAATACTGTATACTACCGGAATGAATCACTCGGAGTCACAAGTATTTCCCATACCTCTTGCTTCTATCTGGATGTTTTACTTCTTTAGCTCATATAATATGCATTTTTCTATGGGCATGGAGATATTCCTCAGTTTGTGATTTAACGTAGTTTGTGGTCGATGTTCACATAGAATAAAAGTGTAAAATATTTCCATTCATGGTTTATGACGTCACCAATTACGTACCAATCGTTTAATCGTTAAGTGTAATTAGACACTAAGTAGGCATTAAATATTAAACAGGCAGTAAACAAAAGCAGTACATTGTAATTAAACACTTTTTTATGCATTATTTTGTATTGGTTCAGTGTTTATGCTGTCTGCTAGTTTGAAGCGCTTCGTAGCGCTGGTATTTGAGGATTGTTATCAGTTGCGAGATATACAGATCTCCAGTTGTCTGTTGTTCACATTAGATTCCTGTCTCACATGTATCTAGATTGTCTTTCATGTTTTCTCTCTGCTAATAAATCTTCTAATGGTGTTAGTAAGAGTGGTTATTGATAACCCATGATTAGCTTCTATCAACACGTAGCATGTGTTGTCCTTAATTTTATCTGGGATAAACGAAAACGACTGTGGTGATATACCGTGTTATGCATGATTTCAACAAGCGTGGGAATTTATTAAGAGTTATATTTCGAAACCGACCTTCCCTAAACCTCGGTGTGACTAATCAATATGTATTCTTTCTTGACAAGCTTGCACGAGGTTGGTAAATTTTAAATGATAAATATAAAAATGATAAAAATTGATAAAAATTATTTGATAAAAATTTATTAAGAGTTTCGGACGAATTGACTGCAGGGTCGTTGTGCATTGTCTTCAGATTAGAAATGCTGTCAAGCAGTGAACTAAACGGAGGGAAGTGTTGAGTCCATCTTCGTGAGATGGCTGTACTTCTCATCTTAAGGTCGGTCAAGTTTTTTGTACTTGTGAGAAAGCTATTGGGGTTTCTAATTCTCTAAGAGATCTGGGAGTAGATTGCATTTCACAGGACTGTCCGATCTACAACGGAGATTCGCTGAGAATCCCATTCTGAAATGTTCGGCTTGCGTCACATGTTGTACACTTAGAAAAGCGTGGTGGTCATTCATTCGTGCCATTTCGAATAGAGCGAAGTCTTAAAATAATCAGAACAAATGTTGTCATGCATTACGAGGTTGCTATGAAAGGCTGAAAAACTAGACATTGCCACGCGGTGTTCCGTCTACTGGATTCGACTCGATAAACGAACTACGAACACCCACGTCACAATAACGATCAGCTTGGAGCCATCGGCTCGAATTGACACGGTTCTCTGAAGAAGGCGAGGTCGCCAGAATAGAACCTTCTTATGCTAACCGCAGGCCAGCTCATGTAGAAGATTATTAATTTTCTCGAACTACTGAAGCTGTCTTGTATAAAAGGATTGATGATGGTTGATGATTGATGACGAAATTAATCCATGTTCTGGCCAGGATTTTTGGTTAATTTAATTATTGTAATAAACGGATCTGAAATTCAGTTTTCGTTGATTTCTCCGTTGAAGACAACGTTGTTGCCTGCATAAATTCTATTTCGCTGACCTATTTAGCTCCGACAGGTGGAAATGTGTGGATGTTTTGTGGATATCGAAGTGTGGCTCATTTTATCTAGTGCTAGCCTACTCGTCGGTGTCGTGTGCTCATGCAATGAGCCCGTATCCGCCAGACATAACTTATCGGGAACTGACAATAAGAGATTATGAAGCTCTAAAGGAGTACGTCGATTACTATGATGTTAGCCCACACATATGTAATCAATATTTTCCAAACCGATCGTAATTTAACTTCTGTATGAGTGGTCAATACTTTATTAAACTATTAAGCTAATACGAAGTTGTCTTGAAGCTTTATTCGGCCAACGTTTTGACATCTTGATCTTCTTCTATGGACCATCGGACTTTAACCAATCCGGCTCTGATGATGACGATGACACCGAAACGTTAGCTGAATAAAATTTTTTAAGAAACTCGTGTTAGCTAAATAGTCTAACAAAGTAAACCCGTGAGAAATAGGGATGCAAATTGTTCACTTGTAGTCACCTGTATTATTGGTTATCCTTTTAATCAGCAACTCCATCTAGTAACTTGAGCGGGCACCTGAGAAGTGCTTATACGTTTCTGTCGTGTCTTAGAACTGATCATTTGCTCATATTTCCCGGTTTTGAAGAATATCGGACTCTCTGTATGGGCTCCTCTTTCCACTATTTTTAGCAAAATGTGACTGGAAAGCATTTGACATGGTTTTTGTTTGGTCTTAGGGCGCGTCCACGATGCTTAAACTCCTTCACAGCTTGGTTGATACTTAGGAGGAGATAAGCACCCTTCATCTACTAGGTATAAACCACACAGTGTGCCCTCTGAAAGTGCATTTTCGTAAACCTGCTTGTATCAGATAACAGACAGTTATCAGTCGGTTACTACTGCTGTTTGAGAAGGTACTGATGGCAAAAGAGTGCGAAATTCTTGAACATGGTGTTATACTAAGGCAGGAACAAAACGTATTCGTGGAATGGTTGTTTTGGCTTCCAGAAATGTGAAAAAGTATTACTTCCGTGTTCCCGAAATTCTTAGGCAGCGTTGAAAAACATTTTGTCTATATCTTAACCCTTTTATTTACTGCCCTTTTTTTCTTTTCAATGGCAGGGGATGTTGCGAAATATAACTCGTATACAATGCTGAGATATTTGCAAAACTCCGGACCGCAGGTGTATGCAGTGGGGAAGGAACACGCGCTGTTGTCCTTACCGGGGAGCAGCGCACTTCACCACCACACCACCCAGGTCCTTTGTTTTGCCTGTCTCTCAGCTAGTTCTATCTATTAAAAAGAAAATGGCAGTAAATAAAAGGGTTAAGATTGTGATTATAACTAAGCCTCAGTTTAACTGGGTTCAATGCCGATTTGGGCCACCCAGATCAATCCCGTTGACGGGTGATTGCTGATGGCAAAAAAGATCGATAGAACTAGCTAAGAGACAGGTAAAACGAAGGACCCGGATGGTGTGGTGGTGAAGTGCACTGCTTCCCGGTAAGGACAACAACGCGTGTTCGTTCTCCACCGCATACACCTGCGGTACGGAGTTTTGCAAATATCTCAGCATTATATACCATTTTGTCTATAGTTGTTTCAGGATGGGCGGGATTTGTCTTCCTATACTGTATCCCGAATCGTACTGGCTGACCATCGCTGCCGACAAAGGCAGCCATTACTCATTAGGTGAGCTAAAACGACTTTTGTAGAACTGATTAAATCCGTTTCTAAGAATTATTTAACATCTTAGATAGTTGCAGTAATAGCATTGGTGCTGGTGCCCCCTTACTACTCTAAAAATTTTCATTAACGATACGGGAAGTGAAAAATCTCATGTCTTCTCGTTGCACAACTTCATTCAAGTTTTGTCCGTTGAAAGTCATACAGCAAACTACAGTAAGTGTATAGTGAACTTTGAGATCGAGCTTCCTATTATTTCATTAATACTCAAAGATTAGAAAGAAGCATTATAACCCCATGTTCAATCTGAGAGGTGAGTGATTTCGTGACATCTCGTTGTACTGGCCACAGGTTTCCAACAGAACATTTGCTTTTGAATTAGCTATGTTGTCATGGAATGTGGTTCTAGGGAAAATTATGCTTTCGAACTTTACCGTTTGCCACTCATTCCGGTTGATATTTGAAGAATATGCTTCCTTTCTACTGTCCACCTCTTGTCTCCCCGACTGACCCTCCTCTTTCCTTGTTGAATGCCGTCGTTATCACAAGACTGTTTCTTTTCTTGGGTCCAAAAGTCGCCCACATAGGTTGGATAGTGCTTTTCCATTCAAGAGAACCTATCCACATTGTTTTATGACTAAAATTTGTTAAACGAATCACACTTTTTCAATAGGGAGACATGAAAGGGATATGATCAGAGCGTGGTGATCTTATAGTCTCCTCTTAGCTGCATCTTTATTCACCGACATTTTGACACTTGCTTAACACCCATAAGACTTGCGTCATTTAGTGTTAATTAACTGTGTCTTTTTGAAAAGTGTCGAATGAGTCAACGCCTTCTTGATTCAGGTGCTTACAATCCACAGGGGCACCTTATTGGTGCCATAGGAGTGATAAGATGCGCGAAAAATTTTTTCGTGTTGAAGTATTTGCACGAAGATGAACGAGAACTAATCAGTATATTCAACAAGGTTTGATTGCTTCGAACTGTTGCATTGTGAATCAAGAGAAAGATATTGTACAACCGAAGCAAAAAGGACAATGACTTCATACTTGAATGTTAAATTTCAAGAAGTTATATTTAATCTTCCTTTAAAGAGGGGGAGGGATAGAACAATGGTAGAGATGTTGTTCAGCAAAGTTTGTTTCTATCGCAACTGTTCTGCAACGTTATTCAGGTTTCCTATATCACCACGCTTATAGTATCACCAGAATTCCGAAAAATCGGCATCGCCACTCAACTACTACAACGTGCCAGTACCGTAGTACTTGAAGAAGGAAGTCAATTAGTGAGTGTGAACAGTAGCGCAATTCGTGTTATTACTTCTCATCCAAGTGACTAGTGGTATTTGTTGCACTACTTTGATCTTACTGTAAATATTGTCGTTCGCTAAAACCACAACCGAGATAGGCTTTTAATGTGAGGAACTTAGAAGAACTAACTATGTGCTGTGTGTTTGTTAACATCCGATCGTCAGTCACAGAATACCGATATTCCAAATTCTTCAAAATAAAAGTCTTACAACTTTCGGGGCTGATTAGAACAGCGAGTTTTCTAATTACATCAGAAGACAATGGTTTGAGTTTGGTTTCCTATCTCTCTCACTTCTACTGTCGCGTCATCATCAGTTGTTTTCCTCGACCATGTGAAGATACCTGAATTTTCAATACTATATACTTTTAGGTATATCTTCATGTCTTGCATTCGAACCTACCGGCTATTCGTCTATACGAAAAAATGGGTTACAAGAAGGTTGCCAATATACCAAAGTAAGATAACTACGAAAGTTCCGATGACGTATTTTTCGAAAAATAAAATGCTAGAAGTAACCGCAATGATGCTGAGATAGTTGCAAAACTCCGGACAGCAGGTGTCTGCCATTGGGAACGAACGCGCTATTACCCTTGCACTGATAGATGGAGGACTGGCTGAGGAAAAAGCGAAGCGAAGGATGTGCATAGTATGAGGGTGAACGGGTTACCATCTGAAAGGGTAATAACGCGTTTGTTTCCTACCGCATACACTTGTGGTCCAGAGTTTTGCAAATATCTCAGTATCATCTTATAAACTTGGCATAATACCCCGCCGTGAAAATTTTAGTAGGCAGTAAATAAAAGAGTTAACATTAAAATGTTAGGTTAGCAGGACCCAGAAACTTGTAAATCTATGGATGTTTAACAATGGTCGACTGATACTGCTAAAAATTTTATCAAAAACTGAAAAAAATAGTAGTTTGATAAGGTTTCTATGCCAGGGCATTAAACTACTATTTGCCGTCTTTTTTTTCGGTACTTCTAATCCACTAACTTGATGGTTTTTGAGGCGTCGATTATTGTAGACTGACAGTATTTGTAAACAACCAGTGATTTCTTTATAGGCCAGGAAACAACAGATACCTTAGGATTTCATCGCGGCGCTATAAAATTTCAGCTACTACAACATCAGCGGCAAAGGAGAAACCGGTATTATCTACTGCCGACGCCTGGCTATGCCGAGCTGTCACGAATGCCTTGCGTTGTCCAGCTGCTCGATTCTGTAATTTAAAACAAATGCATAATGATGAGTGTATGTGTGTATGTACGACATTAAATGTTTAAACCTGTGTGGATGCACACGATTTCGATATTCAAAAGACCGACTTCTATGAACATCGGCATAAATAGTTGATATATTTATTTATATGATCTTATAAACTGACATTTTTGAGTTGATGGGAGGTTGGTATAGGACCTCGTAGTCGTTGCTGTTGGTGTTGTTGGTCGATAGCTGACGTTTCGGCGATTTCGTCTTAGAGCCTAGACCCATTTTATGTAACAATAGTCTTATATTCGGTGAAATATTTATACCACTAATGAGGATCAAACTTCCAAATAAATGCCATATTGATCAAAAAGGCTATTCACAGAGCTGTTACGAATGAGACTGGCCCACCGCGTTGTTCACGCAGAGCCGCGAGCGAGACCCTCAAAATATCATTTTGAAATAAGGTGGCAGGCCAAGCGCTAGTGAGGCGTTCGTCTTTCCTTTTCATCTTTGGATTTTTGAAATTTATCCAAAACGTCTCAAGAGTCTTGCGCGTTGATGTTTTTGATTCCTGCGCTAGGATCCGCACATTCACTTTCAAATCATCGCTTTTTGCTTTTGTACTCAATGTTTATGTACTCTACATCACCAGTTTTCAGACAGTATCGAAATATACGCCAAGAAACGGAAATGCTAGCTTCCATTAAGAATCCTCTATAGTTTGTAACTGATCTTTTCCCCACCACTATTCAGCATAAAAACGACGAGCTGTATATGGGGAAGTGGAACAGTTTATTTCAAAATTTTCACACTAGCAGCACCATGAACAGGAAATCTGAGAAATTTAACCACGGATGCTGTTATGAAAATACGAAATTGTAGGAGATTTGTTTCGATAAAAGGGGTAATACGATGGTTTTTGCGTCATGCATTCACCTTCATCAACCATCGTTGGAGGTGACTGGATGCATATCTGGCTTTTATAATGACTCGCGCTGTCCTACTGATGTATCGAGTTGGTGCTCCCAGACAGGTGTGGTAACAATTTGCTGAACACGGAGCGATGGAGGGCTTGGTGAATATTGGGTGGGGGGTTCGATCCCAAGTGTATTGAAGGACGCCTCTGAATACTGCGCTACAAGGTCCCCCCCCCCGCCCCCCTTTTCGTAACTTTAACACACAAAAACCTTGTGAGAAATATGTTTTAAACTGCTACGAGTAGATTAAGACAAGAAGAAATCACTTGATTCGCCCCGCCATACAACCATGTGAAATGGCTACAAAGTAGTAGACACTTAAGATAGGTTCGAATGAAAAGTGGGAGTGAAAACGATTATTTCGGCGTTGATAAGAACCAGTGTAACTCACTCGCAATTTATTACGAAGTAAAACTTCCTACGAGCGGTACCAGATAAGTGAGGTATGGCGAATTTCTTGCTCATTAGTGAACTTCGACGCCATTTAGTTCAGATCGTCTAAGTGATTGTCTCACTACAATGAGGAATCACAAAATTTGCTCTAACTACAGAGACAGAATAATTTTCTAGCTTGAAACAGAGGCAACTGCTAATTCATGTGAACACTCTGTGCAGATGGTCTCTTCTGCTAAAGAACGCTGGGAACGGGGCGAATTCCGTCGAGTTGGTAGCCATTTTGGAAAAAAATGCCGTGTTAACACTCAACAAGAAAACAGTAACTTATTGGTCGGTAACGACGTTAACGAAAAATTGCTCGGAAAAACCTTTCTTCCACACTCTAATTCATCTGTCTTTCGATTTGACATATCACGGTGTATCAAGATATAGGGCCACTTCTAGCGCAGTGGTTGCAGTCATTGGTTCCATGCCGTACATTGGCCTCAAAAACCTTCCATTCCTCCGTGTTTTGCAATTGTTGAACTAGACTTGTCTGTGTGGACGGCAACACTGACCACTGCGAGTCACCGTGAAGGCCAGATATTCATTCAATCACCTCTGCGATCGTTAAAGAAATCTCGTCATCGCGCGTTGTGGTTGTATTTCGCTTACTTAGTAACCTGCCGTGAAAATTATAGAAGGCAGAAAACAAAACGTTAAACATTGTGATTTCAACTACAGCCATAGCTTAACTGGGTTCTATGCCGATTTGCGCTCCCCAGATCAACCCCGCTGACGGGTGATTGCTGTGGCAAAAAGATCGATAGAAATAGCTGAGAGACGTGCGAAACAAAGGACCCGCATGGTGTGGTGGTGAACGCGTTACTCCCCGGAAAGGACAATAGCGCGTTCGTTCCCCACCATAGACACCTGCGGTCCAGAGTTTTGCAAATATCTCAGCAACGTTGTGGTTGTATTTCGCTTACTTAGTAACCTGCCGTGA